TCTTCTATGGTCTGCTCCAACTTGAAATGCTATAAATTAAAGCGGAGCCTTCCCTCTCTCACTCTCTCTCTGTGTGTGTACACACCCACACACATGAGCTGAGCAGAAATCGACACGCAAGGCACACACACACAATCACACAAAAAACTTGTATATGTAACAAGATATATATATATATATATATAAAGATATATACATAAATGTAAGCGCCATTTGCAAGCAGTTTTTGAGGCTTTAAAGTATTTAGACATAATAATTAGCCGCCTTATTGAAAAGCCATTTAACAAAAACACTTCTTTTTTAGTTAAGTTAATATTAACTCGTTCTACTTTATTTGTACACACATTAAAACTAGCCGATCTCTATAAAATAGTGCAACAGACAACGGCACGCCTAGGTCCATGATGATGTCCATGATGATGATGATGATGATGGGGCGGCGGCGGTCCATGATGGTGATGTCCTCCAGGTCCTCCATGACCATAGCCAGGTCCTCCATGACCATATCCAGGTCCTCCATGTGGCGGTGGCATTTTTTATTTTTTATTTTCTGTTTTTTGTTTTTGGAATCAAATTGTTTACGTGCGTTTCGCGAGGAGTGTTGGCGCTTACTAAACCCCTTTAGATAGCCGACAAATAACTACATATTATTTTTATACCAAATATTTTTGCGAAGATAAATCTTATCTAATCTCAAGTATAATATTTTGCTAATCAATAGATACAATATTTGGGTAAACTACAAAGCATGAGTAACAGCAATTAAGCGTGTAATTTTTTTTAGTCATACGTAATAATATGAGGAATAAAAAATAAATAAATAAAACTGCCATAAAATAACTTTTAAATTGATAAGAGATAGAGAGCATATATAAAGTGTGAATTCTTATCTATGGTTTGACTAAATAAACCTGTTCTAAGAATAAAATAAAACTGTTACTTCTTTCCTTGAATATATAAAGCTGTCGAAATATATTTCAATTTTTGAAGTATATAAATAGATACCTTTGAACGGGCAAAAGACAAATTGTTTTGGTTTTTTCTTGTTTGTGTATAAAATACATATTTATTGTTGCGATAATTAAAATACAAAAGAATTGTTTAAGAACTTTGAGCTCTGATCACAAGTCGTAAAGAAATATGAAATCAAGTTGTGAAAATGATTCATATATGACATTTTCTTTCCAAAGCAAATGGGTTGACTTAGTCTAGTTTAACGGGGTTGAGGCCGTGGTCCATGATGATGAGGAGGTGGACAATGATGATGTGGCGGCGGCTCATAATAAATCGGAGGAACAGCAGTCTGGTAATGAGGCGGCGATCCATGGTGATGTGGTGGAGGTCCATGATGATATGGCGGAGGTCCATGGTGATGTGGTGGAGGTCCATGGTGATGTGGCGGAGGTCCGTGGTGATGTGGCGGAGGTCCATGATGATGTGTCGGCGGTCCATGACAATGCGGTGGCGGAGGTCCGTGAGAATGCATTGCTGGCTGTGTCCTTGATCAATCTAAACTGTGAACGTGTGAAACTTCTGCCTTCTACTGAATTCACTTTGATGCGCAGCACACGTTTTATGATATTGTAGTTCACTTAGTGTTTATATGGGGTCTGGCGATAAGTGATATCTAATCTGAGCGAGGGTTGGTCGCGATAATAATGCATTTGGCTATTGATTTAGTTGGTTGTTTTTATTCGCAGTTCAATGAGCAATTTCAACAAACCAAAGAATTTGTCATGGGCAGACAACTACATGTTGTTCCCCGCCCTAGAAAATTTCCTGACGTAATAAATGAGAATTTCCCAAATTTGGGGGACTCTGAAACGGTTTCTTTTTGGGCATACGGAACTTATTAATATCATTTAGCATGGCTGATGTGGTATATTATATAATTATAGTGTCTTTTTTTTAGTAATTATCAGAATTCGTTTACTCAAACGATAATTGATCATGATTTTATTTTATTTAAGCGATTAGCTGCCAATTTATGACAGCAAATTCCATCAGTTGATGGCTTATTATCAGTGATCGTTACAGTGATAATTTATCATTATTTTCTACTATATCTTTTTTAACTTCTTGTTTTTTCAATAATAAGTCGATTCAGTTTGACACACTAATTTAAAGGGAGATCTTCATCATCAATTCATATTTAAACTTTATTCATATCCATCTCAGTCTAAAATACATTAATTGCATTCCTACAGCCTAAGTAAGTTTGGCCCACATATGAGTTAGAAGGTCGATTGAGTGCACATTCAAGATATGAGCTCGCCTGACCTAACCAGCTAACTGGCCCAAACTATCTGGCCAAAATCACCAGATAAAAAAAACCGAAAAAGGCAAAATAAGTTGAGAAATAGGAAAAAAAAGGGCAGCGGATTTGGCTTTTTGAATTCAATTAATTTTATCTGCATCAATTTAGCCCTTATAATCGCATCAGAGTGCGCCAAACTCGCATAGCACATTCTCAACTAGAGCAAGCCGAAAGCAGCAGAATAAGAGTACGAGTCACAGGAGAAATACTCGATAAAAAGGCAAAAAAAAATATAAAAAAATAAAAAGCCGAAAAAGCGAAAAAGGAAAACCCACTCGAAAGGGCCGCTGTTGGCTCGTAAAATGTATAAAGTCATTGCAAAAGCCAATTTGTATATCAGCGACAGGACTCGACTCGACTCGACTCAACGATGGAGGCCCGAGCGATTATCAAAATGCGAATATGGCACACAGTTCCAGCAAAACTTACTTAAAATGCCCTTAGCTGAGCGGGGTGGTTTTTAGGGGGCATCTGGTGGGGTGAGCGGAGCATTGGGCACTGGGTTTGGGGTTGTCGGGTTTGGGTTTGGGTTTTCTGCCTTTCTTCATGGCAACAATTACATTTCACAGATTTACGTTTGGCGGGTCTTTGGCTTTGGCTTTGGCTTTGGTCGCGTGTGTTGCATGCTATTAGTGTGTGTCCTTTATTTGGCTTATGGAGCTTACATTACCGCCAACTTATCCGGCAGTGCCTCGGCTCGGGGGCTCGGGGGGCAACTGGCTTTCAACTGCCGCTGATGTGTGCCGTCTAAATATGAGAATGTTGTGTGAAAATGTTTAAAATCCACGCGAGCCTTTTCAATCGCAAATGCTTAACACGCCAGCTAAATGCGTTCAGGGACGTAGAACACTAAAGAAGGGGCTTCAAATCTAAATCACAAGTGAATTGAGTAATTAAAGTTGGCAAGCAAAAAGAAGAAGTCTTAACTTTATATATATATAAAAGTTCAACCAGGAAAATAGTTCAAAACAAAAAATATTTGCTCAACAATAAATCAATTATTATATTTTCTAAAGTTTCAAGTAAAGTTTACATATTTATTCCAAATTTACTTCTGACACCATTTTTTATGCTTTTACAATCATATTTTGTTAAGAATTTCAAAATCATTATATTAATCAGCCACTAAAGACGAATCAATTCATGTTTCTTGTTCACGGGTTTTTTACGTGAATGATTCAGGTTTTAATCCAGTTACAAGTTCATGTGCAACAAATATGACTAAATGGAAAATTTGAGTAAGCGCCACTTTTGCTAGCCGATGGTCTGCGTACGCCACTGGCACTGGCACTGGCCGTGCTGGCTAAGAAGGAGTGGTTCGCGTTCACTTCTCTGCATACCACAGCAATGGCGTGTGAGCAGCAACAACAATGTGAACAACAACAGTAACAACAACAACAACAACCAAAAAAAGTACTGAAGTAAATAGTGGAAGAGGCATAAATAATAGGAAATAATACGGCGACAATGCGCACAAATTTGCCGCTAAAGTGTAGTCATTGTCGGCCTCGGCATCGGCCACATCCTCGTCCTCGTCCTCGTCCACGGCATCTGGCTTGGTGTGCGTGAGACAGCCAAAAATGAGGCGGGTCCAAAATGGGAGGGCATTCGAGGTGCGTGCTATGGAAGAGGGAGCGGGGAAGGGGGCGTGGAACTAGCCACACTCGAGTTGCCATTTTGCATGAATTCGCTATTTAAATTTATTATACATTAGATTTATGTGCGCGTTGAGTTGCCCCAACCACATATAACATATTGTATAGTGCAGAGTATAATATAAATACGACGCCTACGACTCTTAACACTTATCATTGGCCTTTTGTGGTCGCCTTTTTGTGCCACAGAGTACGTAATCCACTTAACTGAAACTTTCAACTAGGTGTGTGTATGTGTGTGTGTGTGTGTGTGAGTGTGTGTGTTTTAAGTGATTTCTTACTCTTGGCTGGGCACACTGGGCATGCACAATTATTATGATGGTGGAGGCCAATCGGGTGAGACGATGGAGCCAGTTCTAGTTGGGAGGTCTGTTCTCATATGTTTGTGCCACTTTTCAGTCACATGACTTGCTGTTGAATATTGCTGCAACGATTTTCATTATTAATAATATGTTTTGTGGCGTTGCGTGGCTGGCTGGCAGTTTGGGTTTTAGCTGCAAGGTGCTTATTGGAAGTGTGACAGAATTCAAATTTGAAACGGAAACGGAAACTTGCACGCCTGTCCCACAACACGCAGCCCTGGTCCCTGATGGCATAATAATACACATACATATGTCCTTATCGTTGATCAGCAAATAAAGCAAAACCAGAAAGAACTGAAATATCCATATTTCTAAAATGAATATGGCCCAATAGTTGTGGAATTTTTATAGATGGTATCTCTACTTGTGAAAGGCGTTCTTTTGGAAAGGTAACTGATTATAGAGAAATGCACTTGAAATGCAGAAACGGATGCGAAAGTCGACACTTTTTAAGAACTAGTTACAGGATCCGATATTCTTAGTCCGAGTATACCGAATAGCGGAAAAAAAACAATTCACAATTTTAATAAATTCAAATAATCTTCTTATCTTAAGATGCATCTTAAGATGCAATTAATGAGCTCAACAACCTGCTGCCTTTAAATTGTTTAAAGATTTTGTCATCAAGAAGCCTTTGCATTATTTAAACTTAGTCTCAGATTTTGTAGCGTATCAAAATCAGTAGTAGTAAAAACAGATGAAATCAGTTAAATATTTAAATAAAAAAAATTTACAAAAAAAATATAAATCTATAAAAACACAAAAAATAGAGAATAGGAAAAATGGCCTCAATAATAAATGCACCTCAAGCCCAGGGCATTGCCGAAGCCATACCGGCATGGAAGAAGTTCGACTGGAGCTCGGATATACAACATGATATCTACAGAGACTGGGGCAAATACTATTTCAACCGGCGCAGGGAGAATATGGCGACGCACTATTATACGCAGGCATTGACCCTGGATGAAAGCGATTATATGACTCTATATCAGCGCAGCAAGGCGCTGAGAGTTGCAGCCCAAATCGAGCGATCATTGAAGGATGCAAGAAATGCTTCAGGTATTCGTCCATTACAGCTACTCGATACTTGTTACATCTGATACATATATGCAATTCCTAGCCATGGCCAGCAAGAAAATGGGGCCTAATGCACCAATTAATCTACAGATTTGCGATGCACTCTTTGACCTCAACGAATTTGAGCAAAGTATGGCCGAATGCTTCGACAACACGCAAGCCTTTGTCGGCGTCAAGTCGGAAAAGTTTGAAAGTCGATTTGATGTGGTATTTTAGAAATGATGAGGTCTATTAACATAAAGATCAAAACCAAAAAAAGAACTTTTCTCGCACTTAGGTGAATGATGTCATCAAAGATGTCACCGGCAAGTCCATGTCGTTGTTCTACTTGAAAAATTCCAAACTGATCGCACGGGTTAGAGAGATAAACAAAGCCAAAGAGATCATTGACGATCGGCCGAGGTGGAAGATATTGAGGGATTTGGGAAAATGTGATATACTCAGCATACCAGAAGTGGAGGTGGGTGCTGCATTTAGGACTCTTTTATCAACTAAGCCTAATTCAAATAATAATTTCATTTAGGAAGAGATTCTTTCGCCACTGGAAATAGCTCGTAGAGCGCGTGCTTTCAACGTTATACATCAGACGTATCTGAATGATTCGTGGGCAGATGTTCTGTTCATGAAACAGTTGAGCAACAATCCCAACTTGCTGCTGGACCAGTGCAAACGTTCCAAGAATTTCCTGAATGCTCTCTCACATAGGCAATACGATATTGTCCGACAGTTTATGGTCAGTATCTGTCATAGGCTGTATTCATAAACCACTTCTACTACTTCTACTGCTCACAGAAAATGTTGCAATCTCGTAATCCATTGTACCACGTTAGCTACTTGAAGTTTCCAAATAGGAAAATGCTGGAAATGAACAAGCAGGCGTATCTTTTCCGCATTCAATACCAGACACATCGCAATATGATTGCCAATCTAAGAGAAATTCGTCGGCTGCGAAATGAGGGGAGAGTTAAGGTAACACCTGATTGTGATTATGATTGGATTCTAATTCCAACAACTACACTCCTCTTGCTTTATAGAGTCTCTCGCAGTATATTGAGAAAATCATGGGTGATTATTATGTGACGAAGACGAATCGCGTCATGTGCTGGAAATTTGAGTTCATCAATGAGGTATACAATACCATGGCACTGGCTCTGTGCGAACAGTATCGTGTGCCGAAGAACTTCCGCTATCATCCGTTGTCAATGTATCAATTGTTATTGCTGCCCGCGGATAAGCTCAAAGACGTAACGGCATTTGTGTTCGGCGATCGTTCCACATACCAAGATGGCGATGTTCAAGATCCTGTTGCTGCAAATTCACGGTATGCCCCGACAAATACAACTATCTATCATTTTACTCATTAAGAAAGGTCCTAGAAAACTGATTGTTCGCATGGAGAGACGAATTTTATTCGCAAAGTATTCGATTGAGAAATGTTACCTCCTGCATCAGATTGCGAACGTTCATCTGACACAAGGCCGATATGACGAGTGCTGTTTGAGTGCACGCAAAGCCGTCGAAGGTTAGATAATCGAATCGTGGTCTATATATATATATTTCTCACTTACATATATATATATGTACTGTTACTTAGAAGCTCACAATTGCAACAGCTTGTTGTGGACTTTTCTGAGCTACATACAAGTGGTAAAGGCGAACACTGTGCAGCACAAGGTGGAAAAGACGAAGGAAGCTTTGGATAAGGCTATTCCCATAGCGCAACAGCTAAAAAATCCCGATTTGATCAAGTTTATGGAGGTTTGCAAGACATGCAATGAAGAGGATACCGTCAAGAAGCAAAGCATTGTTTCATCGCGTCGGAACAGCAAGCCTTCGATCAACACTTCTAACAATGAAGATGATGATATTATCATTAAATAATATATGCATAGACAAATCCAATGTGTATCACTACTCGAATTAAATGTACATTGAACTAGTTCAAGTTCTTTTATTATATATAAATGCAAGAATCTATCATGGATTCTGTATAGTACTCCAATTCCACTGAATAATTAGCATATGTTTCTAGTCGTTCTCATTTTGGATACTCTTTGTGTGTGAAGGGGTATCTCAGACTAGTTACTGATAAGAAAATTGTAGACCTCATGAGATCGGAAACATCTGTTAATAATATCCTCTGCAAGGTTAGTTAAAAAAGATTGATAAAACATGTTTGGGGAGCCATTTCTTAAATTCCCGGGAACCTTCTATTTCATGTAGCTAATACTGTCTCTGAATTTGCATTCTTCCTGCATATAATATTTCTAGCGCACTTATAATAGTATTCTATTTTTTCATGGACACCACCAACATAATTTCCATCTAGAGCTCCACGACATTTTCTTCATCCATCCTGTTACAGACTATATACAAAATATAATTCAGTAGCATTTCACATACAAAATAGTTACAAACGTTTTACAAACAAAAGTATAAAATAAATTTTATTTTTTGTACATTTTCTACCGTTTTGGACTAACTCTAGGGATAGTTTAGATAAAAATGACTTCAATTGTGGGCCATGTGCCGCCCGCTGGCGTTGACGACGCAATAAGTCCGTGGAATAAGTTCGACTGGAGTCCGGAAATTGAGCATGATATATACAGAGACTGGGGCACATATTACTTTAATCGTCGGCGCGAGAACTTTGCCTTGTACTACTACACGAAGGCGCTGAATATTGATGGTTCCGATTATATAACCCTATATCGACGCAGTCAAGTGCAGCGTAAAGCGGCCAAAATCGAACAGGCTCTGCAAGATGCACGCAACGCTGAAAGTAAGTTGTCATCGATCCATTATCATCGCATCTGTTGGGATGTTAAGTGTTTGCTAATTTTAGAAATGGCACTGGCTCAAAGGGGTCCCAATTGCCCCATTAATATGCAAATATGCGATGCGCTCTTTGAGTTGAACCAGTTCGAGAACAGTTCAGTTGAGCTGCATGACAACATGCGTAGCTTCTTGGGGGTTAGGGGCAAAAACTTTAAAGCGCGTGAAATTGTGGTAAGAAAGATATCGGCAATATGTATAGATATATATATATTGAATGGATCTGGCGTATAGGTAAATGATATCATCAGAGATGTCACTGGCAAGTCCATGTCTTTGTACTTTTTGAAGAACCTTAAGCTGATTCAACGTGTGCGGGAGATAAACAAAGCCAAAGAGATCATCGACGAACGCCCCATGTGGAAGATATTGAGAGATCTAGATAAATGTGATGTGCTCAGCATACCAGAAGTGGAGGTGGGTGCATTTAGGACTCTTTTATCAACTAAGCCTACTTAAAATTAACATTTCATTTAGGAAGAGGTTCTTTCACCACTGGAAATAGCGCGTAGAGCACGGGCTTTCAATGTTATACATCAGACGTATCTGAATGATTCGTGGATAGATGTTCTATTCATGAAACAGTTGAGGAAGAATCCCAGCTTGCTGCTGGATCAATGCAAACGCTCAAAATCGTTCTTGAAAACACTCTCTGTTAAGCAATACGAGATTGTCAGACAGTTTATAGTCGGTATCAGTTATAGTGTAGATATATAATCTTCGTGATACTTAACTGTATATATTTAATTGCAGAAAATGTTACAATGTCGCAGTCCGCTGTACTATGTCAGTTTCTTGAAGTATCCCAATAAGAAAATGTTGGAGAAGAACAGAGAAGCTTATCTATTCCGCATACAATATCAGACACATCGCAATATGATTGCAGATCTAAGATATATTCGAAAGCTACGTAAGGCAGGGGATATCGAGGTATATATACAATATGAACATACCGAATTAGTTGTTGAGAATTCGATCCCATCCTTGTAGAATCTCTCGCAGTATGTTGAGAAAATCATGGGTGATTATTATGTGACAAAGACGAATCGCGTCATGTGCTGGAAATTTGAGTTCATCAACGAGGTATACAATACCATGGCACTGGCTCTATGCGAACAGTATCGAGTTCCAAAGAACTTTAGACCTGGGACGAAGGCGATGCGGCAAATGCTGCTGCTGCCCGTGGAAAAGATTAAGGACATTGTGCCATTTGTGTTCGGCGATCGTTCCACATACCAAGAAGGTGACGATGATTTAGAAAGCAAGAAGACACGGTAAATACAAATTCAAATAATTGAATGTCATTTGATATTTATTGTTGTTGGTTTAGAAAAGCCATTTTGCGACTGGAGAAACGCATGTGCTTTGCCAAATACTCGATTGAGAAATGCTATTTGTTGCATCAAATTGCTGGTGTTCAATTATCGCAGTTGCACTACGATGAATGCTGCTTTAATGCACGCAGAGCCATCAAAGGTTTGACAACAACGTATACACAATATTTATAATCCAAAACTAATTGGGTTTGTTCAATTTGATCCAGAGAGTCAGAACTGCAACAGTTTCATTTGGCGTTTTCTGAGCGTTGTGCAAATTTTGAAGGCGAACACGTTGCAGCATAAAGTGGAACGCACCAAGGAGGCATTGGAGGAGGCAGCTCCCATTGCCCGTCAACTCAAGTCGCCAACTCTGGCGAGATTCATCGATGTGTGTCTGTCATGCACCGATGATGAGGTCAATAGAAAAGCAAGCTCGATAGCCAGTCAACGATCTAGCAAAGTATCCGTAACGACAACATCGGGCAATCAAAACGATGAGGATTATGAGCCAATTAATGTGTTACGTTAACTGAGACTACACTCAAATTATTAAATTATAGTTGTGTTTTTGAATAGAAAAAAACTAAGAATGTTTTGCATTTATGCAGGTATTTACTGCATTAAAGTTCTACTTGGTAGAACTTTATAGCTTACATCATTTCCGAGTTGTGACTAATTTATTTATTTTTTGCCCACTGTTTTGTCAGATTTGTAGTTTATAGCTGCGCTATCTTTGTGGCCGACCATAAATTGGTCTCGTGTGATAACAGCTTTTATTTGAACCTACATTTTAAGCGTTGCCTCTCAGCAGGAATACACACAACACGTGTGTCGTGTAGGCGTACATTTGGAGAAGAAAATTTACCTGGAAAAGCTGTGTCGTAAAAATTCTATCAACTCGATTAAATTATAACAAGTGGATTTTCATGTTTTTGTGCCGCATTTATGGGTTTTTATTGTGCTAATTTTATGCGCGAGCAAAAGAAGGCAGCCCAAAGGACTCGAGGCAGCTCCCTAAGAATATGCGACACACACACACAAACAAACACATATAAATATATATATATATATACATATACAGATAGGCAGCTGCAATAATACTTGGCACACATTTAGTGGCAGCATTTAGTGGCACATTGTGGTCCCAACGACTGAAGCTGAAGTTCATCCTTGGGACATTGCCACGTTTGCCGTTCTTGTGTATTTCTTTTTTGAGCCGCCAGTCTATCGCTGTGTGTGTCGGTGTGTGTGTGTGTGTGTGTGGCGCCACACTTGGCAAACTTATTTTGGCCCTACCTGCCCTGTACAGCTCACCTGTTTGCCACCTTGCCAGCTTGCCACCTTGCCACCACCCGCACATTTGCTGTCGCCTTTTGTCTTATCAAACTTTTGGCGCGCATGTGTTTATGCCACAAATGGCACTTTTGCGGCAGCGCATTTTATTTTTTTACTGCCACTTTTCGCCATTTTGCTTTATCATTTTTATATGTTTCTTTCGCATAGGCACTTGGGCGTGGCTCGCGCCATCGCCAAATTATAAATAAGTGTGTGCCTCGTCTACAAATGCCTTTCAGTCTTTAGCCACAGCTACTTACGGCTACGTAATAAAATGTTGCAAGTTTTTCAAATTTAGTCCTAACTTTTCGTCAATAACAATTGAAATCGTTTCACGACCAGCAACTTTGTTGAAAGCGAATCAATTTCGCTTTGATCGTGGTTTGAAATTAACACTGCATTCAAATTAGAAAATGCGATTTAAGATCGAAACTCGTGTTGGAATTGAGGACGGTGCCAAGGCCATAAGTTGGCTAAAATGATTCGAAGAAAATAGACTCATGTAAATTGCAAATCTCTTGAATTTAATTTAAAAGAGCACGTGTCTTATATGGCTAGCCAGGAAACTAGTTGAGTCTCAGGCTCTCTGTGAAAGTTGCTTAAGCCACTTGACAAGTGCTGCACTTAACGCAGTCCCATTAAGGAAAACAAGTAAAACTTCAGGCAACTTTACCAATATTTAATCCTTGCAATGACATTTACAACAACTCAAGCATTTTGCATTTCTGTGTAGTATCGTAGAACTCATAAGCCCCAATCGTGCTGCTGTCAGTGTCGTGTTTAGCCATAAACATTTAAATGACCGCCTAGTTGGATTTTATTGTCCCCGGGGCAGAGGAGCGGAGAAGGGTGTGTGAGGGGGAGGGTGTCCCCAGCGTAAAGGTGTGCAAGCAACTAATGACCCTGTATTTATATGACAGGCCAAAGTTTATAAATATTTATGGGGTCCTGTTGTTGTCGTTGTTGTTGTTGGTTGGTTGTTGGTTGTTGGTTGTTGCTGCTGACTTACTTCAGGCGCAAACTCATTTGCTTATTTTAAAATTCCGAGCAGGCGTTATTTTATTTTTGACACCCGACAGCAGACCCACAACAAGAAGGGTCTCTCGTCTCGCATGCTCCCCAGTTTGCCGAACTCTGCTTTGCAGTTCGAAGTCTCAGGTCCTGTCATCGCACGTTGTTGCCATTGTCACGGACACACGTACTATATTTTTTACGCGCATATCACATTACACACACACACACACGACACACCCAGGAGGAGCACAACATCAACATCAATGCTGCAAAGCACCCCTTTTATTTTTTGGGGAAGCTGCTGCTGCTGGTGCTGCATCAAGTAAATAGAATCACGTACACTAATTATCATCACCATTGCGCGTTCGAAAATATATTTTTATTAATTTCATTGAGGGCAAGTTCCCTTTACAAACTTCATCCCACATCCCACACACCCACCCCACCCCACCCCACCCCACTTTCAGCTGAAATTCTTAATTGAGATCTGGCAATATGATATCCCCACGACTACAACATGTATATATACATATGTATGTATATATATACACTTTATATATAGAATGCTGTGCATGTAAATTGTGTAATTATGTTTTTAGTTTTGATAACTGCTTGATAAACAGATTAGATAACATATATAATATAATTAGCGTTATATTCCATGCTGGCATTGATGGTAATTTCAAAATGATTCATTCGCAGTTGTCTATTGATTAAATGATTCAAGATTGGGTGGGGAATTGTTTAAACTGGTTAATCAGTGTCTGTTGAGATTACTAAATTAAATCAGCAATTTGTGTTTAGTAACAAGATAAACGAATGCGAATCGACAATTGAAACGAAACCTGGCCCCATAAATAAATGATAAGAATTCAATTGAAATTATTTTAGAGGCCAAACTGGCTTTTGTAACTTACGAAACTGGCTTTAAACCAGTTAAAAACTGAATACTGAATACAAATGCATACTTTTTTGATATGTACGAATGATATTTTTGTATAATTTTTTGTTGGTTTATTAAATGTTTGACAAAGGTTAACTTTGCTCAAAGCAATCTGAATCTGATACAATTTCTAAATGCATAAAGTGAATGCTTGAAAGCTTTTGCAAGCTGTGCACTCGAATTATTGAGTTTCCACTGCACTTGCCACCCTGCATGGGACCATGAAATATTTTCTATATATATATTACCAAACAACTTTGCTGCAGATAACATGGCTCACCTGTCCAAGCGACAGAGAGAGAAAGAGACAGCGATAAAGAGAGACAGAGAGAGAGTGTGTGATAAGAGCGTGATAGTGTTTTATCTACAGATAAGACTATTTCCCTAGACGATTTGAGTATTGAGATTGGCCAGGCCATTAGCTATAATAGTGCGATCTGGCATTAAGTGTAGTATTGTGCGGCTCTCTAAACGTGCTACAAGTCGCGGCTCGTAACCCGATCGACTCTTGACTAAGAAAAATAGAAGCTTTCAACTAAAAACTACAATAATGGATAATCGCACACGTGTCGAGGTGATAAATGTGCCACCACCCTCAGGGCCAACGACGGTGATTGTGCAGCCTGCGGCGCCCAAGGAAAAGGGCTGTTGCTGTATACCCTGCTGCCCCTGTTGCTTCAGCTGCGGCGAATGTTGTTGCTGTTGCACGATAATGTAGCAAACGAACGACAACAACAACAACAGCAACAACAACATGAAATTTTAAACCAAAGGCGCTGCAAATCCTTTAATGCTTTACGTTAAATTAAGTTTGGTTTTTGTGACACACACACACACACACACACACACACACACACACACTTACACTAACAACACACACATTTATCGTGCAATAAAATTTTACGATTTGTTATAAATAATGCTTTTGGCCTGTGGTTTTTGGTCTGGGCCAACATATTGTCTTGCATAAATCTCAAATGGTCTTTTTTGTTTCTGTGGCCTCGCCAAATTTAATAATACAGTGAAAAGCCGCAACAATTTGTAGTTTTACGATTGTGAAGAGCGGGTTCTAAGCGCACAACGCAAAAAACTTAGTTCACATTCCCAGTTATTATTTATATGTGTGTTTCTCAAAATTTGCCAATAAAAGGGAAAATGTTTCAAAAAGTGCCGCCTGCTGCTACCATTTTGATAAAAGAGATTTTATGTGACTTTTCATATACCCTCTCTCTCTCTCTCTCTGTCTTTCTCTCTCTCTCTGTGCATTGCAACCGCAGAAGCAAAGTTTTGACAAGGGTTTTGTATGTTTTAGTTAGAGAGAGGGCAGTGGGGTGAGGGAAGTGGGGCATTGGGCAGTTATGTGTAACCCATTCACCATAATTTGTGTGTACTTTTTTTGCTTTGCTCTTTATCTAAAGCCCAAACAATATTACTCATTCGCACTGTTGCACGGCCAGACGCCGCCGCACAGTGCAACCACAATGATTACGATTGCAGAATTGCTGAAGCATTGATTAAAATTAGATAGATTATAAGTTAGATAGATAGATAGTTTGATAGATTTGCTTATAATGCTTTTGTTTATTTTATGAAAATACGTAAGCAAAATCTGTGTTTCTTATCCGATTCGGCAATGCTGCATAATTCCACACAGCAAGATAATATTAATAAATTATATGGTTGAAATAGTCAAAGAGCTGATAAGCTGCAAAGATATTAAGATATACCTTTTTAGGCACTCATTTGGGCAAATCTCAAGCAACTGAAACATACGCAAAACAAAATAAATCAATTTCATATCTAGATTTATCGAAATCAATAAATACTTTTACATTTTCACTGAGTGTGCTCCACTGTGCCGAACATTTTTGGACATTTACACAAGCTGCTTTCATTATCACAGCTCATTGATCAAATGCCAAGGCTTTAGATACATTATATATATCAAAAAATATCACAGCGACAAATTATTTGAAGCAACCTTCCAGTGAATCGTTAATTTAGTGCAAAACAAGTTACTGCCGCGTGCAGCAATAAATATTTAGTCATTCCATTTAGTTGGTTAGTTTGAGCGGTGAAGGATCATGTTTAACGCTGGCTATCAAGTGGACTACGTCGATCCGTACGTCGATCCGTACATCGATCCTTTCTATCCACCCCCCGTCGAGGTGATTGAAGTAGTGCCCCCGCAACCCGTCTTTTGTGAACAGCCCGCTGTCATCGTCACCCAGCCCCAAACGGTGTATGTGGAGCAGAATAACGGTCCGTCGGAAGCTGATGTGGCATGTTGCCTGGCGCTAACCGCCTGCTGTGTCCTGGAAGATGGATGTGTTATATCGTAATCATTATATATATATAGACTTGTTGTAAACTAATATCAAAAGAAAGGGTTTAAGATAACTTCTTATGTAAATATAAAGACGGAAATGGAAACGACAGAAAGTGTTTGTTTATAGAACGCAGATAGCTGATTTCAGTTCAATAATTGCATTGTTGATAACTATAAATATATAAAATATATAGTTTAAAGACGAATTCAACAGTTGTGGTTTTTACTGACTCAAAACATCCGAAGTAAAGTAAATGAAACTTTTGTTATTCTCCTTTTTTTATCATTTAAATCGATTATTAGTCACCGTTTGTATTATATATGCTTGAGTCATAGCAAAAATAAATAAATGTAAGTCTTTAGTGCCTAAACTACCTTTTTAGATAACCAATAAATTCATTTGTTATTTCAAAGACACGCCAATGTTTTATTTGACTATAATCGTGTCTCCTTTTTTATCACTATATTTTCTATATTTCAATCGAAATATTATCTTTTCCGAGAACTCTATAAAGAATTGCTTTTCATATCTTTAATCACAGCAGCTCTCTACAAAACTACCTTTCAACATGACTCACCCTCAGCATTTTTCTAAAAAGTTTTCTCTCTTCTCTGCTCTCCTCGTGATCTGCTCCCACGTCTGGTTGACTAAACTTAAAGCATATATATAAATTTAAATAAAGCTACTCCTTCATAAGTTGTCCAATTAGTTGGATGTGCAATTGAAATTTATTAAAGAGCTGTCACTCTTTTGAGTGAACCCTATCATTTGCCGGCTACGAACCAACTCAGAATGACAACGTTATTACAATAATTAAAGCCAAGTCATGTACACAAGGATCTGCCAGATTTTATGTCCTTTTCCTATGTGTATTATGCTTTAAGATGTTGTGTGTAAAATGGTTTTTGAAAATGTTATGCGCTGTCTTCGACATTGCCGCAAGAACAAGGCGAAGAAAACAGCAACAGCAACAACGTTGAGCTAAAAACCAGGAGCACATCCAGGACAACTTCAACAGCTTGGCTAACAACGGAAAGAACAACAACAACAGCAACAGCAGCAACAACAACAACAGGCTGCTCTATGCCTTTTTAACTTGATTTAATGAGTGCAGGGAAAAAACATCAACAAGAAAAATGAAATAACTGTCATTGAAGACATGAAAATGGGGAGGCGCCGCAGCCCATTGACGGTTGCCTGTCTACTTCGAGCCAAGGGTGTGGTGTTTTTGGGAGTTGGGCAGAGGCAAGGATAGGGGTGGGGGGTTATAGTGGTGGGAGGCTGTGCTACTTAACAAGAAGCCAAAACGAGCTGCGAGCTGTGAGCTGTGAGCTGCGAGCGACATGAAGGACCTACGTGGCAAGCAGCCGAGTGGGTGGGTGTGGCACTGCGCAATTATGCAGCAAATTAACGCTTTATATTTATTAAAAGCCAGCTAACTGGAAAGCAGTATTCTTTTTGTTGTTGCCGTTGCTGCCTTTTGGGGGTTGTCTACGGCATGTCTCAAAAAAAAGAAAACAAAAAAAACAAAAACAAAGAATGTTAAAGAAAATGTTGGCAGTCTGCTTGAACATGAATTGTTTGACAGTTTGACAAAGTTAGTTAGAAGGTACACAAGGGTATATATATCCATCAGTCGGCCATGATGCAGCAAATTAAAATCTATTATGATTGATATTTATTATTCGAGTACAGCAAATGGTGATTAGAGAAACATGCCAAATATAAAAAAGTATATATATATAATGGTTTGATCTCTGGAATACTGCAATAAAATATGAAAAAAGTGTTTTCCAATATGTCCTATAACTTTGTCAAATATAAACCAATTTTCAAAAATGTTTTTGGACTCGGATAACATTTAAATCTAGAAATGCGATATGTACTCTGTATTCCTGATTATTTTTTTTCAATTAATTTCAATTTTACACATTTATTATTCAAATTGAATATGAAAGACGAGCTATGAACTACTTATCCCACAACAGATATTCATTGAATCCCCCACATATATATTATTTACTTTATACGTAATTCTTAAGCCCCGTGTCAGCAACCTTTACATTTTTATTGGGTCAGCTGCAGCCCTCAACACGATTGTTGGGTAGGGGAAGGAACACAAAAATACATCTAATCATGCACTACAAGTTGAAACTAATGCATAATTCGTGTTCTCGAACAAAAGGAAGTCAATGCTGTGGCGAAGAAGAAGTCAGCAAGAATTCTACCCTTGGCAAGAATAATACGCTAGGGGGTTGACTATGGACTATGGGCTATGGGCGATGATGATGCTCATAGTTGATACTCATGCTTAATTTCGCTATGACTACTGTTGTGGCAAGGGCGGCGCTGTAAGCCTTATAAATGAAGCAGCAAATTTGACGCCAGTGCAGCAGCAGTAAAAGGATCGCATTGTAGTTTATATATATAGAGTCTTAATGCATTTACCGAGGGGGAAAAGTAGTTAATACACGTTAATATCTTGTGTTCTCGGAGTGAGATTTTCGCTCATTTGTCAGGATTTAAGCCACTGCGCAAAAGTCAAAGAAAATTGCAATTGTATTTGTGTATTTGTGTTTGGACAATGATGATTTATTTTCCACACACGTGAAAGATTTTCCTCAATCGCCGCCCTCCCCCACGCCCCTCTTTCATGGCTAGGCGGCTTGTTTTGCCAGGCTCATTAAACTTCGACCAGCCCCTGGACTCATTAAAAATAAATCCATTTTAATAAGGCCCTGTTAAGGCTATCAATGTCCGAGTAGTTGGTCAAAACGCAGCTTGTTAGTGTCAGCTTGGACAGATCCAAACATCGACAAGCTTATCGCCCCTTGAAGTGCTTTGCGTTAAAGATGCAATTAAAAAGTGGACTTCAACTAGATTTATATTTCACTTTGCTTAGGCACAAACACAACGTTGCACACTAATTTGTAGCATAGTTTTTGGGGACATTTTGAGATACAACATTTATAAAAATATGTTTAATATTTCATAAAATGTTTTCATACTCTTTTGGATATTGCAATTTGCTTTAAAAATCGCATTGCAGTTGTCTATAAAGTGGACACTAAATTATATTCCACGCTCTGCTAGAAGCAATGCTATTTTGGATGTGGACTCTAAGTTCGCATTATGTATACTCTTTGTTGTTAAGCAAAGCATTCTCTTAAGCTAGCTGCAGCTTTCGCATTTCTCTTTGCTCATGTTTCTCTTAACAGCTGAGAAATGTGGATCGCGAAGAAGCAAGCGATCCACAACTAAGTCCTACGCTAAGCTGGCTGAGTGTCAAACAGAATACACAACTATTTCAACAGCAGCAAAGGCAGCATGCATGTGTCTGCAGTGATACTAAATAGCATCCACAACAGTTCACTCTCAGCATAAATACATTTGCATGTGATGTATAAAGCGGACACATAACTTATATTCCACTCTGTCACACACAGCACACACCATCCACATTAGTCGCGCTTGCTTCTAATGAGCTGATCTTTGCCCTTGAACTAGTTGCAGACCAAACACATTTGTTTTTAAGAGTGACTTGAGAACACTTTCGCTCTCTGCTCTGCCCCACAAAAAAGCCATACATAAACTACAACTAAATTAGAGTCACACACACATACACAGTGTGCCACACAGCAGTTGCCGTAATAAATAAACACACACGTCGGGTCTAACCCCAGTAGCTCCCCCCTCAGCTGGCCAACCAGTTAGTGGTTTTTGCGACCCCACCAATTTTTGTCAAACTGAACTAATTAATTAATTGTGGGGCGGCCACCGTAGCCTTCGAGGCCAACGCGAGCGACGCGTCCTCGTCTGAACTGAGCTGAGCTGAGCCCACACGATATCAACGGTCAACCGTATCCCTTCCAACCCCCGTCTTCCGCCCATTAGCCACCCACTTGCTAACTGACCAGCAACTAATTTTTATATTTATGAGGCCGGGACGTTTTGGCCTACTGCGTCATAAACTGTAGAGTTTTGTTTTTGTCCACAGGGTGGTAGTTGTTGTGTTGCTTTATATGCATATCAGTGTGTTTCTGCGTGTGTGTATGTGTGTGAGGATATTCTGTGCCTGCCACAGACTCCATGCCGCTTGAATGCTCCAATTTTTAGTATCTTTGTGTGATTTCATGCGTTTAAGCTGCATTTTTATTTGCTTCCCTTCCAGTCACAGACAGACGGATAGACAGACAGACAGACAGACAGAAGCACCCATTAAGGGGCTGCTGGTTATGTTGTGGGCGTGGCTAAACTTAATTTTCATGTCGCGTTGTAAAAGTTTCCAACAAGTATTTATGGCATCTAAATGAAATGTGGCAATTGACGAATCTTTGGGGCAGCATCGGGTCTCGTAATGTTTGCTAATCAACCAGTTCGATTTGCTTTTAAATATTTAATTGGATGAACTGATTTACGAGACGAACTTTAGATGGGTAGGGGTAGGGGGTGGATGGTAGTTAAAAGTTGCTTTATATTTGGGTAGTTTTATAGTTTTATGATGAGAGCATTTGAAAGCTTTTGTTTACGTGTGACTTTAAGGACTATCAAATTTGGTATGAACTACTCGGAGTGATTTGGCTTAGCTATAATAATCCACAACTTAAACGATTCAAACTCAGAACCATAACCGAAATTCAATCATTCTTTTAATAATAATAAACAATATTTGTTGTCCATAACGGAACAGAAAAACTTTCATAAACTTTACCGGAACCGGAACAGAAATACGATTCGGTTTGAGACCATAAAAAACATTCGCTCCTCAACACATTAAGCTAAAGTTTAAGCAATAGTCCAAGCAATAAATTAAATCAGCTTAAACAAATCCCAAGTGCTGGGAACAAACAACAAATTTGTTGGCAAATTGCTAACAAATTGAATGATTTGTAAATCCAAACACGGCTGACTAATTGAGTAGAATATTGAGTCAACGGCAAATATCATCATGCTAAAATCAAACGCTGCCAGCGACTTTTCCAAGCATTCATTTGGCAAAATGTCATTAAAACCAAATCCCAAGCAAAATGTTCTCGCAGCTAAACAAACAATGTGCACGTCTTATGCATTTCAATACCCTGTAATATTAACAGAGACAGAGTGTGATATGCTGAGTGGATTTTGAGTAGTTTTGTATGCAATTTTCTAAATTAATACTTGTGTTTCTGCCTCGTCTTACAGGGCATCTGTTCGTCGATCACTCAATCGATGCCTTAGTCAATTTTAATATTTTATTATATCGCATTCGCTGAGACGACAATTTTAATGCATATTTAATGCAATGTTTAGGAGTCAGCGCATTATAGCAAATTATTTCGACTTTTACGGCAAATATAAACATCGAAAACTCTCTCAAAAAAAAAAAAAGAAACACCAAAATGCGACCAGAATTTCAAATGACAAAAACATTTTCATACAAATTGCGAAAATTTCCGAATTCGCATTGCTGATTTTTGTTTTCTTTTTTTTTTTGTTTTTTTGGTGGCGTTGGCTTTTCTGGTTTTTGCTTCGATGATAATAATAATAATGTTCATAAATTGTGCGACGCCTGCAAATATGCAACGGAAATTGCCAAAAGCCAAAAACGACTACAATATCAACCCCCAACCCTTGACACCCATCCCACAATAACAACCCCCTCCCCCGACCAAGGCTACTCTTATTTTTTTTATAGGCTGCTGGGGAGTGCTTGGGCGTGTGTCTCTTATCCTGCGGCTAAGCAAGCATTATAGTCGTGGGGTGGGGTAGGTGGTGGATGGAGAGAGGGGGTTGGGGGCTGGGGGTTGGTTGACTGTTGCTTGTCAATGCATTTCGTCCCTTTTGATAATATCAAAAACTCATTTGCCTGCGTGAGAGGTGCGGGTTGGTGCGGATTTAGAAGTAGTTAGTTTGATGTTGGCTTGCATCAGATGATTTATTATAGCGTAACCGTTGCAACCGCCCCTTCGATACCCCCTTACAACCCACTAACTCCTTTTGTTGCCGCATGCGTCATCAATTTTTGCATGTTCAACAAGGGGCAAGGACCATTAGGCAAAAAGCTGCAGCTGCAGCTGCCAAGCTGGCAACCAGTTAGAATATATATATGGCTTATGAAAAAAACGAACTTGCTCCAAGTAGAAGTAAGTAGCGATTGTCAAGTCCTGAACAATTTAAAGAAGGGTGTCAAAGCGGAACTAGAAACGGAAACGCAACATTACTGTTCGAAAGCACCACAAGCGGAACGATAGCGGAACGGAACGGATAGAGATATTATCGGTTTATCGTACCTTTATGAAACCGAATACTAAAAAAAACCCTTATACTAATTATAGAGCACTTGTCAGAAGCCTCTAACTGTTGTTGTCTCTGAGATCGTAGCTTATAGGGCTATATCAACTCGACTGATCAACACTATATTGAATGTAGAGTAGAAGTTGCTTCCCATTTTCCCATATTTAATGGATTCAGGAAATAAACACTGCATTTACTGCCCTCAACGATTTCTCAGATTTGCTCGGAGTGTTTTTTAGTAATAAACCTTGACCCTTGCATCAACTTGTAACTGAGTTCTACTACAAAGCACAACTAAAAAGCGCAATTTAAACAATATTAATTAAAAGGCACTTCAGCTTCAGTGATTGTATTTATAACTATATATCGCAACCACTAAATAAACGCGTTTACCATAAATTTCAAAAATTGCAGTTGCCTGTTTTTGCTAGTTGTAATTCGAGTGCTGCTTTTTGAATAATGAAATGAAAATGAAAAATGTGTGGTCGCTCGTAAAATTAATTGTTATGAATTAAAAGTGCAATTGTTTAATTATTCGCTTTTCATTGCGCATCTCTCGCTCAACTGGAAACAAACAAAAACAAACACGAAAACAAAAAAAAAACATAGACAAAAGCCAAATAAAATTGAACAAATTGCAAAACATTATAAACACAAAACAACACAACACAATAGAGATGTGTGTGAGAACAATTCGATATAACATTTATCTTCTGCTAAACTCTAAATTTGCATATTAATTTATTTGAAATAAACCTTCTTTATAAGAGAGTTGTAGCTGTTGAATAAATAAATAAGTTTTCTTTACATGAAATTATGATAAATTTGCGCTCGTTTCAAGTTTAAGTTTATGTTTTGAAGAATTTAAATTACTGATTGACACAGGAAAAGGCTGGCTTATTTCCTTTAGTGAATTGAGTGAGTTGAGATTAAATGATGTCCTGTAGAGAATGTTAAATGTTAAGGTTTATATTCATACCAGTGTTCAGCTTACACACAAAAGTGCACAAATATTTAAACAAAGACAAAAGATTTGCCAGTCCAAGTTTCAGTTAGTCTTTGATGAAAATGAGAAAAACAAAACAAAACAACAAAATCCAATAAGTAGTATTATAGTGTGTTTTTATGTAAAACTTTTCTTTTGACTTGCCCAAAAGCAATTCAAAAGCCTGAATGTCACCATTAACATACTTAACCCACTTTTTGCATGCCCACCTGGGCAAGGGGTGGTTGTGGGGGAGGGTTTGGGTTTTCTGCACAACTTTATAGCACTCGGTGCACATTGACGATGCCTTTTGTTTCATGTCAAGTGCAAAATGTGCAATGCAGAGGACAAAGCAATCGCATACCGAATAGTAATATCCTCTTTATCCCACTCCCCCAACCCGCCCACTGCTTCCTCCATACTAAGCCCAACAACAGCAATCACATTTGGTGTGACACATTTGGCAATGCGTTTTTAAACTGCAAAACTACAAAACAAAATGTGGCAGCCACCAAAAAAAACAACAAAAAAAACAATAGCAACAACAACAAGAACAACACTTAAACCAACAACTAGAAGAAGATGAAGAAAGTTAGCTACAAGTGGGGTAAAAGTTTTTTGCATTTTTTCGCTTGTGCCCCGGCACTGAATTGCACTTAAAGTCAGCACCAGTTAAAAAACTTTGAAGCCAACACGACTACGGAAAGAAACCAAGAATAAAATATGTAGTAATAGCAAATGATGATGTTAAGCATAGTCGACTAGGCAATACTCTGCCTGGCTGGCTGGCTGGCTGACTGGCTTATAAAGTTGCAATATCACGCAAACAGAAGCTGAAAAAGCGCTTCATCATTGCATCTGTCAAGATTCAGCTCTTGGCAAGAGAAGTCTATAACTTTAGGGGTCTGCCTCCCTTAGACAGACATATGGGAACGTTACAATATCCAACAAGGGATATGTTTAGCAAAGGGGGTAAAAGCAGAAGGGGTCAAAGCAAGCAGAGGCAGGCAAACGTGGTATTTTTGGGTGAATAGGCGAATTCCTTATTTGACCTTGCCACAAGCCTAATCTAACCTCTGATTTCTGATTGGATTTCCAAGAAGATCCTTGCAATATGCAAGGACTACAGATATTTGATGCCTAAATAGACTGTATAACAATGAAAACCTATTGAATATATTATTTTTTTTAACATTTTATATTTCGATTAATCCAAAAGGAATTAAATTTAAAAAAAATTAAGATCTTTTCAATTTTATTTTTTCAAATTGAATTCCAAACCAATATTGAAATATTGCTTATTTTTATGCTTTTCATAATTTTTTTCGTCGACCTTAAATAAATAATCAACTGCAAGCGTTGAAATATTTTCCATTTGGAGCAGAGTACTTTGAGAATAGAGTGCGAGCGAAACAATTGAAAACTTTATTGCTTTTGGCTTTTTCACTTTTGTTCGCAACTATGTTTGTTGCACACGTGGCAAGCTGACAAAACGCCAAAAACAATACAAAAAAGAAAAAACTGTTCAAAGAAAGAACGAAGAAGAAAGTTTTTGCGTTTTTATTAATTTTTAGAACTCGGCAGCAAGTGCGTTGCACATAGAACCATACACACACACACACGCACACATACATCCATAAGTATGTCGAGACGGAAGTTGGGCAAAAGGATGCTCGGTCTTGAGCTGAGAGTCCTTGGAACAATAACAACAACTCTCGGCACTTGTGTGGTCAGCGGTCAGTGGGAGTTGGGGGGGTTGTCAACTAATTGGGCTTGTGAAAATGTTTGCTACGCTTATGAAAACAGTTGGCCGCATGCCGCATGCCGCATGCCACATGACCCTTGACCAAAAGGACACACATACATACATAATTATAGGCCCCATTTATATATTCCTGAATTGGTCTGCGGTCGACATGGTTTATATAATGCGAGATGGACAACTTTGCCTTCTTCATACGGGCTTAGATTTAGTTGAACTTGTTTAAATTGTTACCAATCTTATTTATTAGGCAAAAATGATTAAACATTTCACCCACCAATTTCATTATATGTTCACCACCTTTGCCACAATGTGCTTGTGAAAGCTGGACTCTTGGAATCGCCAATCCGCAACATTAATGCTAATCTGGCTCTTTAGTTATCTCACAATTGGGTATGTCCCCAATCAAGTTTTATGATTTTGCTTTGCATGAGTCATGTGAACTTTGGTAAGCGTTTAAGTATGATTCACACTGATTAGAAGCACTTCAATTGAAAGATTACAGATAAATTGTGTAATAGAAAAGAAAACTACAAATAGAAGTAATCTGAACAATTAAAGATTACCTAGGTATGTATGACGTCATTAACCATATTGCTCTTAGAAGTCTCTCTTAATATATAAGAGAAATTCCAGTCAATAAACTCTGCATTTCTTTTTTATAAAAACTAACTTGTTTTTATTACTTAAACAATACAAATACAATATTTGTTTTACAAAATAATACTTTACGTTTAGTCGCGATTTATCCGTTTCTTTTTTCACTCTTCAAAATTTGCAACAAATTTTTTTTGTAAGACAACCGCACAGAAATCACGGTTCAGTTATAAAGATAGATCAAGTTAAGAGTAGATGTTGTGCGAGTGTTTTCGTGATAAGATTGATTTGATAATGACAAAAGCCTAAGACCATGACTAGAACTAATCGAACTAGTTGCATAGATGATTTAATGATATAGTTGTAATTTGTTTATAGACTACTCAATGCATTTCTTTCGTACTGATCGGTAAGCGTTTCTCAATTGCAGCCATTTGTGCTCTGAAAGCGAAGCGTTTTTTGCATTTTCTTTTGGCTTGGTGCAATTTATTACGGTTTCTTTTTTTTACTTTTAAGTTTTCTTCTTTTCTTTTTTTTTTGGCTACAAAAATACTTGTCATACACAATATATATATGAGGCTCAGATGCGCTTAACTTTAACCATGCCTACGTATGTATGTAAGTGTGTATGTATATATTTAAATATACATATATGTATATGTATATATATATATATATATCTAAATATTTGTATGTATATCTATATATATATATGTAAATGTATATGTATATATGATCTTGTGAATGTGTATATGCTATGTATAAATAGAATTTGGTTAATCTCAATTATTTAGGCCACATTTGTTCGCCGTCTACCAGCGATTCAAGTAGAACTGATTGATGCCCATCACATGCTTCTCCTCGTGGTACTTCTGCAGGATATGTGTGATAACCGAGGTGGTATCATTGTCGCCACGCCAAACGCGTATCGCATTCTCATTCTCCAAGATGGCCAAAAAGGCTGCATGCAAAAGAGAATTATAATTATTAGTTTGAAGGTTTGTATTTAATCTATTCTAGATTCTAGATAGATTCTAATTGCATACAAACTAGTTGGTAAACCTTACCCAAAAAGGTCTTAGGATTGCTGAGTGTCATTTGGACTTGCGGCATTTCAAGTATTACTTTGAGTATGGGTGAGTCTGGAGAGAGACCCTCTCGCAGCTCGATGACGCTTGCCGAACGATTCTCGCATAGCCAATCGCAGGCTGAAGCCTTATTGTTGCCCGTCATGCGCAGGGCCAACAAAACGGCTGCCTCATCGAAGCCCATGTCCGTCAGAGCCCCGACAATCTCCTCATTTGGCGGCGTATCGCGATGACTATAAATGCGCACAATTTGCAGCAGAGCAGCAGTGTTCTCAATCGACTCCTAATCCCAGCGAGAGACAGAGAATTTATATAAGTTGAATATATATATATATATATATATATATATATATATATATATATATATATATATATAGTTATGTCTAGTTACGTTATCGGTGAGAATGGTTGAGGGTGAAATGGATGAGAAGCTGCGCTGCAACGTGGGCAAAGTCTGATCCAGTTGCTGTTGCGGATCCTCCTCCTCGCGCTGATTCTGGATGAGCCACTCCAAAGTGGTCGAGTAGACGCCATTGTTCGAGTGCAGCGCATTTTCAGCAATCTGCCGATTGAAGCCCATATCGACGAGACACTGCACCGTATCCGCCTGATGATTACGCCGATTCACCAGTCGCTGCTTCAGCATGCTAATCAAACGCGGCGCAAACGGACCGGCGCCAATAATCGCCGCCGATGCCTGCGCCAGCGAAATGAGCACCTTGCGCACATCATATTGAATCTGACAAAGATATAAGATACAATCACAATATATATATGTGTATATAAGTTGTCGATCGACCCACATTCGATTGCTGAAAGATCTCATTGATGTCGATGATGGGCAGCGTGCAGGTGTTGTTAGGCACAAATCTCGTCGCACTGTCGACGAGTGCATCATTGGGTCCGGGGACCTCGCGGGTGCGTGTCACCGCTTGCGACAGGGTATTCCGTTTCGGTGACAAGATGAAGGTCTCGTTGTGGCGCACATGCAGCTGGGCGAGCGTCTGTGATTCATTCAGTTCACTGCCAAAGTACTCGGCTCGATACAATCGATAGCGTGGATTCAGATGACGCACATCGGGCGCAAATAACTGTATCGAATCGGGATCATCGCTCAACTCCAGGATAACCTCACTTTTCAGATCATTGAGACGCTTGTTCATGTCCGTCTTGAAGATGAGCACACGGGAACTGGGGCAAATGACACGCACTGTGATCGTCTCCCCAATTTTGACCAACGCATCCGGATCCGAGACAATCGTTGCCGAAGCCGTGCTCAGGCGAGCATTGTTTTTTCTGAGGAGAGTGGAGAGATTTTAGTCAATATGTGTGTGGGTGTAGTTATACAGTGTTGGCCATATAATTGAGCACACTTGCAGCAAATTGAGAATGCAGAATAAGTTGAGTGGTATTTTGTACCTGCAATTGCTAGTTTTTTCTACTGTTTCTAATTATATGGCCAGCACTGTTCTCTCTGAACTCACCTGAGAAACAAACTGCGCAATTTTTGCATAGTTTGTGTGTATTTTTGTGTTATTATTGTGGTTAATCCAACGGAGAATTTCGATAATTGGAAAAATAACTGTTAACTGTTGCTGTTTGCTGATATTGTTTTTGTTGTCAACTTACGTATTCGCCTGCTCCGCTTTCTCCTTCTTCCTTGTTGCTGCTTCCTGCTGCTGCAACTGCAACTCCAACTGTATCCGTCTCCTTCTCGCTGGCGAGGGAGTACGCAATATGCAAACACCCCCGCCACCGGCACCAGCTCCGCTGCCATCCGTTTGGGTCTCGACATGATGATGTACCTGGAGGCTGCTGGAAGCGCCGCTGCGCAAACTGAGACTGCTGCCGGCATCGCTGCCGCTGCCACTGCCAGTGCCAGTGCCGCTACTCGCTGTGCGTTGTGTTGTGGAACTTGTTTCACTGATTTCGGTTTCGTTGCTGTGCCGCTGCTTGTTGCGTGCTAACCACTTGGCGCGCTTCTCATTGAACTTGTCGCGCATCCAGGGTATCATGTTGTTGTTGTTGCTGTAGCTGCCATTAATTGCCTGCTTTTACATGGTTCTTAATTGTTTGCCCAGCTTTACTCAAATTCAACAAAATACAAATAAAGTATACAGCTGTTGGCAGCGTTGCCACATGCGTGAAACTTGTGTGGATTCCAAGAGACCAGGCTGTCGGCTGCACACATGATATTAACTGAAAACAATCTAGCTATAATTAATTACAGCATCTATCAGTAAACTCTTCGTTTCTGTATCACTGAAAAGTAACGTTGTGGATTGTGTGTTTTAGTATTTTTTTTTTGGTTTCCCGCCAGTATTTTATGTGTATACGCAGCGGACAGACATGTGAATGGTCAGCGATATACATACGAAATGCAACTCTGCATTTTGTGGCTTCTCTTTTATTATCCACACACATTTGTATCGCTCGCTGCGGTTCTTGTTCGTATTAATTTGCAGAACGCGCAAAACAAACGGCTAAACAATTAAACACAAACAGCAAAAGTCGAATACGAAGAAAAATAAGAAAAGTAAACCAACTAGACGTAATTCATCAATGCATGTAATCCGTTAAATGACAAGTGATTGTTTGTTGTGCGTCAATCAGCGACCGAATCGCCAGAGTCACGTAGCATAAAAAAGCAGAAGCAGGCCAGAAAAACGAAAAGCAAAAGAAAAAAAGGTTACATGTGGGTAAAAAGCAGCGAATACGATATGAAAGAGATGAGCATAAGCATGAAGAAGAAGCAGACGACGACGCGCGACAGCGAATAAAAAAATAAAGCACACACACACTCACTAAAAAAGCGCGACACAAATAACAAATATAAAAAGTGCAAAGTAAAAAAAAGCCGGAGCGCAACACAAATGAATGGGAAACAAGATTCGTACGTTGCCAAAGTACTACATATATATGAACATATGTATTCATCTGCACACATGCATATACATATACGCATACACTTACAACAGCATAACGAAACTTCAATTTGTTTAAAACCGATAACTTAGCCGAACTACAGCAGAGCGAAAGAGAAGAGTCGAGAAGAGATACAAGAAGAAGAAGCGCAGGTGAGTTGCAGTAAACAGAAAAGTTCTTTGCGCAGCGCACAATTTGTTTGTATTCACAATTTATGCGTGTGAAGTGTGTGTGGGTGTGCGTGTGTGCGTGAGTCTTTTCTCTCTCTGTGTGTGTAGGTGTCTATCTGTTTTCTGATTCCGTTTTGATACGCTTTTACTGTTGCTTTTATTTTGTTTATGTTTGTAATATGTGTGGACGATTAGTTTGCACTTTTGCGTTGTGTCCCAAATTGAAATGATATCTACGCATTTGTTTATGTGATAAAGAGAAACAACAACAAATGTGAAAAGCTCTCACTCGTTTTTGCTCTGAGCAAAGTGTGGCCAGCTCTCAGCAACAGGCAGTGCTGCTGAGGTCAGCTTTATTTCTGCTAAATCAGCATTTTTGCAGATTGTGTTTTTGTTGTTATTTTCAAGTAGTGTCAAAAAATATAGCTGACAAATGTAGCAACATTTTGTGGTTGTTGATAAGTAATTGTTAAAATTGTTAAATTAAAATAATTTTGTACACTTATTTGATCTCTAGCCACATTTGGCTGATTTTTGGTTTGGCTTTTTTTAGATTCACTTTCAAAAGTTGCAGCACTGAGAGAACTTTTTAACGCTCTTTGGTGCTTTTTGGACTTTCATTTTGTTTACATTGTGGATCTAGTTGTTGCTTTTGTTTCTTGGTCATATATCTTATCGCATTTTGCAAAGGAATTGCATTATGGCAGAGAAAAGGCAATTAAAGATTTGTTGAAACTGCCGGAAGCATTATTTTCAATGTTTTCGATTTCATTTTTGTACTTGAGAAAATAATTGTTTATTTCTCCTACTTGCAGCATTTTATTATTGTGCGCATAATTCCATTTATAACTGCCACACAAACTGGAACCAGCAGCAAAGCAGGCAAATTAATTAAGATTATAAAATATAACCAGCTATTTGTGTAAGACTAGTTAGGTGAGTACTAAAACCAAAACCAAGCGAAAAATGTGGATCAAAGCGCGCATAATTTAATTTTGCATAAATATTTTTGTGATTGCAGTATTTAAACGTAAGGAAAAAACAAAAATGTGGAATTCCGAACCAACACAACGCCAGCAATATAATAATGGCAATAACAATGGCAACCAGCCAGCCAAACAGCTGGGCATGACGTCGGCCATCAGTTTGGCGGAGCCCCGTGCCGAGGATCTGCAACGCACCGGGGAGCTGGGCAAATCCCTGGAGCCGTACAATGTGTTCGAGAGTCAAGATGAGTTGAATCATCGCATGGAGATATTGGCCAAGCTGAATACGCTGGTCAAACAATGGATCAAAGAGATATCCGTTAGCAAGAATATGCCCGAGGCGGCTGCCGATCGCCTCGGTGGAAAAATCTACACATTTGGGTCGTATCGACTGGGTGTGCATCACAAGGGTGCCGATATCGATGCATTGTGTGTGGCGCCACGCAACATCGAGCGCACCGACTACTTTCAGAGCTTCTTCGAGGTGCTCAAGAAGCAGCCAGAGGTCACCGAGTGTCGCTCGGTGGAGGAGGCATTTGTGCCGGTGATCAAAATGAATTTCGATGGCATCGAAATTGATTTGCTGTTTGCCCGCCTCTCCCTCAAGGAGATACCCGATGATTTTGATTTGCGCGACGATAATCTGCTCAAGAATCTGGATCCACGATCCGTGCGCAGCTTGAACGGTTGTCGTGTCACCGACGAGATACTTGCCCTCGTTCCCAACATTGAGAACTTTCGCCTCGCCTTACGCGCCATCAAATTGTGGGCCAAAAGTGAGTGGAATCGTATTAATATCTAATTGAAATCATAATTTAATATATATACTTATCAATCAGAGCATGGCATCTATTCGAATTCGCTGGGCTATTTTGGAGGCGTCACTTGGGCCATGCTTGTGGCACGCACCTGTCAACTGTATCCGAATGCGGCCGCTGCAACGCTGGTGCACAAATTCTTTTTGGTCTTCTCGCGCTGGAAGTGGCCCAATCCGGTGCTGCTCAAGCATCCGGACAATGTGAATCTACGTTTTCAGGTAAGTGTCGCAAAATATATATGATATATTTATAACTTATCTGTTTTTACTTCTGCTTTTGTTTTAGGTTTGGGATCCGCGTGTTAATGCCTCGGATCGTTATCATTTGATGCCGATTATAACGCCCGCATATCCACAACAGAACTCGACATTTAATGTGTCCGAGTCCACTAAGAAGGTCATATTGACCGAATTCAATCGCGGCATGAGCATCACAGATGAAATAATGCTCGGACGCGTCAACTGGGATCGTCTGTTCGAGGCGCCCAGTTTCTTTTATAGATATCGTCATTTTATTGTGCTGCTCGTCAACTCACAAACGGCAGACGATCATTTGGAATGGTGCGGTCTCGTCGAGTCCAAGGTGCGACTGCTTATCGGGAATCTGGAGCGTAATCCGCATATTGCACTCGCCCATGTCAATCCGAAGTGCTTTGAGCTGAAGAAAGGCGCTGTTACCGCCAACAATTCGCAAAATAACAGCGGCAACGAAGATGATCTGAAACAGCAGCAGCAACAACAGCAGCAGCAAAAAGATGAAAAGCCTGCCACATCGACGGTGGCAGCGCCGTTCTGTTCGCTTTGGTTTATTGGACTCGAGTTTGAGCGTTCCGAGAACCTCAACATTGATCTAACCGAGAGCATACAAAACTTTACAGAGCATGTGATTATGCATGGCGTAAGCAGACCAACAAACTAACCTTTTGTACAAAAGAAACTCAAAGATTGCACAGTGGAAGCTGTTTGTTCATTAGAAAGAATGGAATAGATAGAAAAGAATTGTTTTGAAATGCCAATGCCAATTATAGAGCGTCCACTGTGCAAAGTACACTTTATCTATGATATATTTTAGTACTCAATTAAATATATATTATATATTGCCTGCTCCACAGGTAAACATTAAGATGCTTAAGGAGGGCATGGCCATTGATGCGCGTCATGTAAAGCGCAAACAGTTGTCTGTCTATTTGGATGCTGATTTTCTGAAGCGCGAACGCAAATCGATGGAGAGTCATAATAATTTCAATACCACAATGCTGGCAAATCGCAAGCGTCTCTCCACGGAGCTGGCACAGTCGCAGGATCCGCTGCCGCCGGGCCAGCAACAGTCAGCAGCCAGCAGCAATCGTGGACGCGAAAGTGGCGCCAAAGTGCATCGGCTAAGTGAATCGGTAAAAGCAGTTGAGATTTCTCTATTTATATCAAAATGTCAATTAAATGCAACTATTTTCACACTCACAAACACAGCTCAACGAGGACAACTCGAATGCGTCTAGCGATATGGGTGGTGTGATGCCGACCACGCCCACTGCGTCGCAAATGAATGCGCCCAGTTTCAAGGCGAAGGCGGGAGGCAATAATGGCACAACAGAGAGCAGCAGCAGCTGCTTGGACAACAACAGCGAGCCAACTAATGGCAGCAGCAGCAGCAACAACAACAACAGCAACAGCAGCAATAATAGCACAACAACAACTGAGGTGGCCTGTTCGTGACAACCGCCAAAGCCACCAGGACAACAGCAGCAGCAGCAACAACAACAACACCAACAACAGCAACAACAACAGTTATCACAACAGCAACATCAGCCACCACCGGCACCGCCGCCGCCGCCACCAACGCCACATCATCATCAGCATAAATTTCGCAAGAACAACAATGCTGCTGCGGCGGCTGCCTATAATAGCATTTTCAATCAGCGCTCGATACTGCATGCGGCTTCAAGTCTAACGGCCGCTCTAAGCATAACCGGACACAAGCGCAAGCAGCAACCAAAAACAGCAGCAGCATCAGCAGCAGCAACCACACTTGCTGCCTACAACAGCAATAAAAACGGTGGCGGTGGCTGTTATGGTGGCAACAACAATACACATTTTAGCTACTACATTGTTGATGAAGATGACAACAACAAACAGCAGCAGCAGCAGCAACAACAACCACCTAACCAAAAGCAACCACATAAACAACAACAGCAACATCAACAACAACAACATTTAACACATGTTGCTGCTAGGGCAATGCCGGCAACAGTTACAACAACAGCAACAACAGCGGCTAAAACAGTCGCCAAAGCGGCAACGACAATTTCTTGTAAGTTTCTATTAATGTCTAAATATTTTCTGTATTTTTTTTCGTGACGCACAAGACTGTTTTTCTATGTACAAAAAGAAAACCAATTGCTTCAATACTCATTTCCATAACTATTTTAATAAACTCTACACGAAAATATTCCAAAAAAGAAAAATTAAAAAAAAAAAAAAAAGAAAAAATATAAAATTACTGTTTTCAGTGAGAAAAACTTTTAGAAGAGAAGTATGAAAATAAATATAAAAACATATTAATGAATATTTTCACAGATATTTTACAAAAACTTCCAAACATTAAATAAAATAAAAGACAACATTCAAAAAGAAGAAAGTTAAACTACACATTTTTGGTATTTTTATTTTTATTTATACGAAATTGATTGAACTTTGTATTTTATATTTTATTTTATTTAATTAAATATGCATTACTTTTTCTAAACACTTTAAGTACTTATTTAAATAATAAACTTCACTTTAAACTTTTTGTTTAAGAATAAGCAACATATTTTTAAATTTAGAATTCAAAAAGAACACTTTAAATGTTTCAAGCATTACTTTAAAAAAAAACTATAAGTGCCAAATGAAAATGTAAATAGAAGTATTAAAAAACGAATATATAAAACATTGTAAGCATTCCAGCTATTTAAATTATATGGCAAATCTGTAGTATAAACAGGTGCTTATATCATATTATTTCCAGCCTTAACAGAACCTTACTTTAAGCTCAACTAAATGTAACTTTTGATTAAAAATTACGCTTTTTCTGAACACTTCTGGTTAGCATTAAAAAGATTTCGAAAATCACTTGAAAATTGATTTATTTCATTAATGTTCTAAACAAATAAATGCTTAAACTATATATTAATTAAATGATATTCCACTTCTTCTATTTGCAGTGTAAAAAGCTATAACACGTAGCATTAAGGCTTAGTTTTCATAGTTAACGTACCCCATTGATTTCCTCGGCATTGATGCCACCAAATTAATGGAAGCCCATATATTTTAAACAAAACGGTAAGCAATGACAAAAATATAACTCTTATGGGAATACCCTTAATAATCTGATACATTTTCTCTCTTTTTTTTAGGTTTCCATTTAAAAACTGCAGAGTTTTGTTTTTAAGTTTAATCCTTAAGCGCAAAGGCGTCGAAACATACTTACATACCATAGATAACCGACAACAACAACAACAGCAACAAACAACATACAACATGACTACGAAAACAACAACAACAAAAACAAGAAGAAGAACGGCCAGAAGAAAGCATTTCGCTAACATTTGTCTTAATGTTTTCCTACCCAATAATATTGTTGTACATCTTTTTTACTTCCCACAGCTGGTAATGGCGGAGCGCGCCTGTCGGAGAATGAGAGAGAGAGAATAAATAAGTGAGAGAGAGAGGGAGAGAGAGTGGCAAAGAGATCTTGAAGACACACTGCATCATCAACAACAACAGGAAAATATATGAATCAAAGAAACAAACCAACAACTGCAACAAGATCGATTTAGAATCAAAATATTATTCAAAACTATTTCTTTATTTGATTTAATGGATTTCATCTTGTTTTTTTATACTTTCAATCTTTGTTTTCTTCTTCTTCTAGTTGTACGCTGAAAATTTGTTCGTTTTTCTAAGAAAAGATAACTGAAAAAAGGTAATAACAAAAAAAATATATAATTGAATGAAGATATTGATTTAATTTTACCAAATAAAAAAAAAACAAAAAAACAAAATACAAATACAAAGCGAAAGCTAAAAAAAACCAAAAACAAATCGTGTTATTTATTTATTTTTGATGGTGCATGTTTTTAAAGCAAAACAAAATATATTCATTGGAATAATGTCTAAGAATTGAAAATAATCAATTTTTAATATACAGTAAATGAATCTCTAATATGGCTATAGTGTTTTGCAGATAACATATATGCTGTATATCTGAGTCTCGTATCCACGGATTCGAAATTTTCATGAATGTTTTCGAAATTTCTTTTTTATTACATAAGACTTGCTATTTTCATAGAATTTTATTTCAGGTTCCTAAATTTGATTAAAATTGTATTGGATTTGTGGAAGAAAGTAAAAAAGCAACAATATTATTAAAATGTTGCAAGAATCGGAACAATTTTTGTTTTGGCATTTTAAGTGAAATTTCAGTGAAGTGTGAAAATCACTTAAATTTTATTTAAGATTTTCTTTAATTAAGTCTTAAGTATACAATAAAGAACAAATCGATGTAAAATATATAAAAGTATTTTAAGAAATTAAATGTGTGAATGTCTGAGTAAATAAAGATTTAATTTAAACAATATAATGGATAAATATGTGTTGTGTTTTTATATACTCAAGCAGAGGGAGCAAAATCTGCTTATTTATGTACTTTTCATATTTGCACAAAAAGTCTTGGGGATCAGACTTGTATATCATATTGGTAACAAGTAATCCTAAACTAAATCAATCGAATGAAAAGATCAAGCTACTATACCATATCTGCCAAAGGATCAATCGGTCGAAAAATTAGATAAGATTAGATGGAAAAGATTTATGCTTACAAAGATGTCCCAGTCTTGAAACAACCTTGATGATATCTGGAATATTTGCTTGCCTATGCGGAAGTTATTATTCTCTTACTTTGATATATTATTGATTAAAACGCAAGCTTCTGTTTGCATTTTTAAAACCATAGCTTGTAAAACTAAATACTTTTCGGCACAGAAAATGACAGATGTCTTCGGATCGTTCAACAAAAACTAGAAGGTTGTCTCCTGCACGGAATTTTACCAGAATCGACTACTGAATTCTGAGAAAAGTGCAACTGGCCAAAGGTGAAAATGGCTGATTAAGCATAAACATAAGTAAAGGATGCCGCAGGATCTCGCTGGATCGCTCTAGGAATAGTCGAAAAAACCCATCAAGAATACTTCACAGTTAACTTTGAGCAATTTAAATTCCACCTAGAAGTAAGGACATGTCCAGCAATTAAAAGTGAACAGCTCTGCTTGAGAATGCATTTTTCTAGGATCTTGAGTGGCGGTTCTCCAGTCAACAGGTGGCCCTTGAATCCCGTCGCAAGGAACGCTCAAGGACAGCGGTGTCACAGTAGCTGTTAACGATTTGCGTACGATGTACAGACTGTGACAAAAGTACACTCCCAGCCAAGGACGAATACAGGCCAAGATTGAGATTCGAGCTAACTGCTCAATTTACCAATCCAGCGATCCTTTTTCTGTTTGGCCAAGGGACTAACCTAATTGCACTTCTGCGAATTTACGCCGCGACACAGCTGCGCGTTTTTACCCAGAATATATTGTGTGTGTTTGAGTGTGTGTGTATTGTGCAGGATTAATCCGTTTATGGCCACGGATTAAGTTGCAAAATTCTAGACGAAGGCCAGAAACTGCGATTTCCGTGGAAAGCGTCGCTTAAAGCAGGTAAATTCCAGGTAAGCAGCCCAGCTAAGCCAAACTGAACTTCAGGTAAGCCCTAAGCTAGTTAAGGGTATATAAACTGAAGCCAGGCTCGGTTAGGGCATCAGTCAGCATTCAAGTGTCAAAGTGCAAGGATCGCTTAGAGTAACAGAAATAAGTCTAAAAAATATATAATTACATTATATGGCAAACCTTGTTCAGTTTTGACAACTTTGTTTCTGTGCATCATCACTGGGTGAAGTTTGTCGTATAATCGAAATGGATCAGCTAAAAGTTGTACATAAAAATGCTTGCCAAATTTTCATAGCTCTGCTTTTGGGATGCATTCTGTACAGTAATGTTGACTCTTGTAAAACCATCACTGGGCAAAGTGTGTCTCAAAATTGTGGCAAGTAAAGAAAATAATATAAAATGGCAATTTTTGCAGTGTTTTGCAGTGTTTTGTGTGTGTTGCAGTCAAACCCAGCCAGTATTTTAAAATTAAATGGCGATTGTCGGTATGGTCGCTTTTGAACCTAAACTCTATATACAATATATATAAAGTGACTAGACCGAACACTCGTGCTATAATTTTAAAATGTTCAACATAGGCAACAGTTTTGGTTAAATAATAAATCGATCTATGTTTTATAGAGGTTGCAATTAGTTTCTTTGGTCGTCCAGCCTTAGGTGATTTCTCTGATCATAAAGCTAGACAACCATTGAAGTTCGTTGTGGCATACGCAGCGATTATATAGTGTATATAATATTCCTGATATATGTGTTAAAGTCGTTATGGGTCACTCGCTAAAAGGAACGATCGTTGTGATATGCGTTCATTAAATCGTTACATATCACAGTGATTTTCCTTTATAGCGCGTGCTCTGCCCAAAACTCAACTAACCAGTGTTGAATAACTAGTGAAGAGTGCTTACAGTGCTTCCGTTTCCGGTATGAAAAGTGTACAGCTTTCTACATGAGACCTGTTTCTGTTTAAATACCAAATTTTGATCGCGAGAATTGTGACTTCTGTTTGCATTTCCGTTTCCGATTTGTGGTTTATAGCCTTTAATGTAAAGAGAATAGATGCTGTGCTGTATGTTGAACGTATTGTCTATATCACAGTGGCTGTTCTTTTTGTACCAAAAGTGCCGTACAACAAAATGAGTAATGTTATCAACCGCTGCATAAATTCACCAATGCTATGTTTAACCACAGGGAACTGCTGCTGCTGATATACAACCATATTTATACACGACTATATCACAGTGGCTGTTCTTTTTGGTTGCATCGCCATTTGCAACGATTTGTCAGTGTTTTATTCTATTTTATTTTATGTGTGTTTTTTTTTGTTAACTCCACTCATAAATTGTTTAAAAGGAAGAGAACGCTCGCTGCTGATGTAGTTCATGATTCAAATATTTTATATCACAGTGGCTGTTCTTTTTTGTTTATCAATGATTCAACTTTATGCAACTAATATTTTTGAAATGATGTGTATTTTTTCAGCTTGTGCTAAATATATATATGCATTTTATATTTCCACTCACATCAAAATTAATTAACTTTTGATCAATAATTCAACTTTATTCAACTGCTATTTTGAAGCTGAAACAACTTTAAACACATTCTTGGCTCTCTCACATTACGTATCTCAAGTTAATAGGTATTTTTGTAATTTTTCTAGTGGAAAATTTTATTCGTATTTCCGGCATTTAGTTTCCTTTTCCTTTTGCAGCCACAATGCGACCAGGCACGTGGAAGGCAACCATGTGGCAGGCATTGGCGGCAACCAACAATGGCGACGACATTCGCAGCCATTATGTGTGTGTAAGTGTGTGTGTGTAAGTGTGTGTGTGTGGCAGGTAACAGGCTGTCAATGCATGTTATTTTAGTTGGCCATGTCCTATATGAATGCCACAATTTGTTGCGCGCCTGTTTTGTGTGGCATTTGTGGCTGTTGCAATGCCAATTTAAGCGTTCCGCTTAACAGAGTCGCTCAATTAAATTTAAATGATTTCCTTCTATATTTAGATAGTTGATAAGACCATTTCAAAGTTGATTTAGTTGGAATGAATGAACTACAAATTAAAATCATCTTTCTAAACTTAAATGCAGCATTCGAAAATCGCCAGTTTTTTAGTTTTAGGTTTGCTTGACTTATGGATAAATAATGCCTTGGGAAATTTGGCATCTTCTTCAAATGAATTAATTTTGGATAGAGTTTTAATCTGAATTTCAACAATGATCGTGTTTCAAACTTTAAGTATTAATGAAAGCACACTTCAAAATAAATTTCTTTTGAAAATCGATTCAGTTTTGCCAAGTTTAGATGGCTCTCTCTGAAATGATGGCAGTCGAAAACTTTTAACTCTTTGTTGATGCATTTTATTTAATATTAGTGAAGTCAATTAAACATTCTCGTTGCATTTAAAATGTACATACAATTTCTGTTTTCCCTTTCTTTCTAGAAGCGTTATTCGATTTTGCGGGCAAAGCGATGCAAATAGTTCTCGACGCGGATCTTCTCGCGCAGCTCCTTGCGCGTGGTGAGCTCCGTGGCGGCTGTGGTACCGTTATGATCGTGAAAGAAGCCACAATATCGGGCGGGCACAAACTGTTTGATGAGCTGATTCCTGCGATATCGCTCCACAACGCTCAGGCTGCAATGCTTGATGGCGGCCAGCTCGTCGTGCATGCAGTTGCGGCACATGTCCTTGTCGGTGGCAAAGTGGTGGAAATAATCGCCCCTGGGTCGCTGGTGGCAGTTCAGACACTGGGCCAGATTGGTGGGTGCACAGAAGACAGCCACAGCTGGCCAAATGATGCGACGGCTGCCGAAAGCCATTTCCAATTTATAATACGGATACTTGTTGTGAATAGTATACGTGGAGGGACTGCGGGTGAGTGAGCAAGTCCAGTCCAAATTGAGTAATCAGCATTGCTTAAGCTAGTCGTCCAACTTACCCAGGTGTCAGCCATTTGGGCTCTGCCAACACCTGCCGATCGAAGGTGTAGCCAGCGCGTAATATCCAAGGTGATGCCTCATAGGCGCCCATGGGCGGAATGAGCTGCTCGCGGACAATGGGCAGACGGGACATCTTGTTGGCCAGAGCGGAGAAGCCAGCCTTTGACGGATACTTTGGAAGGGGAAGAGCGAGACGAAGAGTGAGGGAGAGCGAGAGAGAGGCAGAAGAAGAGAGAGTTTGTTTCATCAAGTTGGACAGATAGAAAGGTTCTAGTAGCTTTAATGGATTCTTACCTTAAAACCAATTGGCTTCGCACAATCGTAGTCCAGTGGACTGGGATGCGGACGAGGCTCTGGCAGATGGCATCTCATGAAGCTGGTCACAGCTGAGCCATTCAGGGGCATCACCTCGCGATCCATGGTGCTGCCAAAGGCCACTTTGGGTAGAATCGGTGGATTGACCACATACTCGAAGCCTGCAAGCAGATGGACGCAGGATTAGTGAATTGCTTAAGGCATATAGAGTGCTCTATGTGTGAAAGGGAAATGGGGGCACCTGTGGCCCGGCAGCGTGCCATAATCATGCGCGACTCGGAGCGCTGTCGACGCAGCTGTTCCCGTTCCTGGGCATTTGGTTGTCGAGCACGCATCGCGGATGAAAGTCGCTCCAAGACTGACTGACTGAGGTTGGCCCTGGCCTGTCGATTCGCCAGCAACTGACAGCCCAGCTAACCCATTGTGAATGTTGTGCTGCGCTGTGCTGTGTTTGGCACGCATGGCACGCACCTGCCCCAATCTAGCATGCTGCCACACCTGCTGCTGCTGCTGCTTCGGCTGCTATCAATAATCATCGCCATCGCCATCAAAATCAATATGACAGAAACGCTAAAAGGCATTTGGATTCCTTCAGGCAGTCCTTAGTCTAGACTCCATTTCCTCAACTTTGACCCAGTTCTTTTTATTTTATGCTTTTTATTATCTATTGTGCGATTTGACTTTGATTTGCTGGAAATTGATTTAGCTATAAAGATATAACTATTGCAATTGACAGAAGCAATTCTATTAAATTGAAAATGTTGAAGACAGGCGCCAAAATGAAATCTCAATTTCAGAATGGAATCTATATTGAATATGCTAACCATATTTACCATTACTAGATCTATAAAAAAGGTTTTTATAATACGATTTCCCAGTTAATATTAGAGTTTATACAATTTGTAAGTTTTTGTTAACCTTTCCTCATCATTCATATAAAATATGAATTTACATATGAATTTATAAGGAATTTGGTATATAGAAATCTTTAATCATCTTAAGAACTTTATAAGATCTACAAAAGTGTTCAAGCTAAGACAAAAGATCTTCCATTTTGTAAGCTTTTCTTATCCTCTTCTTATTATTTCTTTAAGCTTTCAGTCTTAAGATGAATATATTAATAAGATGAATAAAATAAATAAATTTATAAGTTTATTTACACTGAAGTCTTTAAGAAATTTATTTATGTTCTGCAAAAGTCACGAACCATAAAATCAAGAATTAGCACATTTGGTATACAAGTTAATCCAGGCATTATAAACTGAACTTTGAAGTGCATCATTAAATAGGATTATGCTGAGTAAATAATAAATAACTCACCCTCCATGATATGAGTGCTGCCTGTGAATAAACTGTGAGTGAACTGAATAAAATGACTTAAATTTATGCACACACAACAAGGATTCGCGACTAGTTTGAGATATTTATGCAATCGAGTCGAATACAAAGCAAACAAATTGTTTAAAATGACAAAACTTGTGACAAGCTGACATATTTACCAAAGGAATGTCAAAGACAATGGGGAAATGCTACTAAATAGTTGGGCAAACATGCAGAAAATGTGTTGTGGCATGCAACAGGCGAGACTCGAATGGCAAAATAAGGCGATGCGTTTAAGTAAATTTCATCCATGTTTGTGTGTCTGTGTGTGTGTGTGTGGCACGAGACACAGAGAAGAAGAAGCAGATATGCAAGCTAACTTTTAAATGGATTTTCCAGCAATTTTTGCAGGGGATGGGGCTGATTGGGCGTTCGCTTTTGTGTCTTGCAACAAACCGCAAAGTGTGCACCTACAAAATGGCAGCCTGGCTGGCTGCTTGACATTAATGCCAGTTAACCCCAAACGTTGTCCTCGTCGTCAGCTGCAGCAATGGCTTTGGCTTTGGCTTTTTCGGCAGGACCTATGCATTATGCCCCTGCCTCTTGCCAAAACCCACTATTCGCTCACGCACATGAATGCTAATGGCAGAGATATTGAGAGAGAGAAAGAGAGAGAGAGACAAAATGTAGATAGCGATAGAGGTAGAGAGAGACTGACAGGCAACACGCAGAAATGCACAACCGCAGCGCAGCCACAGGCAGAAGCCATCCAAATGGTCCCCACACAAATGCCACCACCCACGCACAACAGCCTCACACACTGACAACGAAGTGCGCAAAACTTTATTTAAAGGGTATTCAGATCAATGACGGGAGACAAGACTTTAGGCAGAGAGAAATGTGTGGATTTCAATTGTGTGCTAGTTGGCTGCATTCAGCAGAAGAGCGCGGATCGCTCAAGAGCGAGTCATGTGGAAGTCAATCATTTGATGTGTTCAAAGAGAGCGCCTTGTGGATGCTGTGAGTGGAAGTCATTTCTCTGACCCACATCAGTCGTCTCATATGTGTAAGTAAAGAGCGAGCTTTGTAGTTGCTCGATGAGTGTGGGAGTAAATGCAGTTCTCCACTACAGCCACACAGCTTTTGAGCCAGAGTTTGTTAGTTCAGTATTCCGTCGTCAGAGAGCGCTTTGCTGGAGAGCATAAGGCAATGCAAAAACTCCACAAGCCTATTGAGAGGATTTATTTTGTGCGTATTCGTTCTCTTGATCGGTCGTAGTTTTTGTGCGCTTGGCAAAATTGTATTTTATGAGTGCTTAACTGACTGCTATTAATCGCTTAATGTTCTTAATTGTGTTTGCATCAATTCTTCAATCCGCCTTAAACTAAACGCTTTAATATCTTGTGAAAAAATGGCATGCATCAAACCTAGATTCACATTTGACGCGACAGTGCGTGTGGAGAGCAGTGAGCATGAAAGCTCAAAGCTGTTAGTGTGTGCACAAACCAATTGAGAGGATTTAGTTTTTGCGCGCTTTTGCTCTTGATCGGTCGCAGAGCTTTTAAGACGAGCTTAAATACAACAATAGGTAAACAAGTCCATTAAGATTTTTAGGATCATAACTATAAAAAGAACATTTATTGTTGTATTAAAAATTAAGTTTGTGCACTTGGCACCACGGTGCAGCAAAAGCCATGGCAGCAGCAGCAACAGCAGCAGCAGCGTGTGTTTTGTGAGCTGCTTAATTCGTGCAAATAAAACGATTGTGGAACATATGTAGCCGGGTTCGCTTGTGGGTCTATTATACACATACATATACATATATATATATATGCACATGAATATGTATGTGTGTATGTGATGGGCACAGTAAGTCCTTGCATATGGGCGCACTTAGTGTTTCAAGCAGCTGCTTGCTCGCACACCCACCTCCCCTCCACTCCCCTCCCCTCCCCCACAACTCAATCCAACCCTTGCAACGCTGCTGCTGCCGCCGCAAACTCACAATGCAATTAAATTGTAATTTTACATTATTTAAGTGTCTTGCTGCTGTGCAACATTTTGGTTGCCAGTGCATTTTAGGTTGATTTGGATGGCGATGTGTTTTTATTGTGTCAACAATTAGTAATATGCAAATTAAACTGTTGCCATTTGTCATAATAGTATAGTTAATTAATCTTGTGCTTAATCTAAGAACCATAATTATTTATGTAGATCGTGGACATATTTATCGTTATCTGTTGCTTGGATTCGAGATGTTGCCTGCCTCATTTTCTAGGTTTTGGAAAGAGTATTCTTTGGGGATATTTGTAAGAATATTTGGAATATGTTGAATGTCTGTGGATTTAGATAGATATAGAAATAGTTGTAGATATGGATATGGATGTGGAGTCTGCTTAGTGTTCATATTTAATAGATAATAAATTTCTAAAAATTCTTATTTTTATTTCAGTTACGACTAATACGATCCGTCAATAGGTGAGTTATATTATTTCATTGATATTATAATATTTTTATAGGAAATACTCAGACTCAGACCACCAATTCAAATGGAAACTGGGGAAACTCACGAGAAAAACATTGTTTTATGATTTTTACCAGTAATCCTCCACTCTTCCTGCGAGGAATCCCATGTCATCCAACATCAGGTAAGGAATATTTTTAAGGGCATTAAATCTTCGTCACAATTGACGCAGTTTGTTAAATGTTTCCGCAAAAAGACCCAAAAACAACAGCAGAGAAAATCTGAGAAAACCTTTAAAAATGTTTAAATCACTTTTAGGGATTTGAAGCAAACTTTATGGTGTGGCGCAACTGGCAAGTGGCAAGCGGCAAGCGGCAAGTGTGTTACACAAGCACAAACAACAATGGGGCGTGCAAATAAAAATGCAGCCTCAGTTGTGCCTCAGCTTTCAATTTGGCCAGCAGCAGCAGCAGCATCAGCAGCGTCACAGAAAGTGGCCATAAACGTGCAATTCACATGCAAAACACAAAAACTTTGCCAAGGCTCCTACAAAGATTGCCATTGGATGGGGCGGAAGTGCCAGCCAACATCCTGTCGAAGCAAGGACACAAATTCCAGTTGTTTTTGCTTTTTCTTGTTGTTGTTGCTGGTGTTGTTGTTGGTCTGATGTGTCTTGTGGCTAACACAAAATTTGCCTCACAATAAAAACAAAACAATGACAAAAACAAAAGGCGAACAACAACAGTTTAAGTCTATTTGGGGCCGGAAGTGCCGCTTATTACGCAGGATGCGGTTAACCGGAAATGAAACGAAATAAGCCATGTGCGACTGTCGCTCCCTCTCTCTCTCTCTCTGTCTCTCTCTGTCTCTGTCTATCTCTTTTCTCTGTGAAGTGCATGGAAAACTAATTAAAAATGCGCTTTAAGCTTTCCGACTTGGCCCATTCAATATCTTTTCGATGCTCTTTTGCCAGCATTTGCATATTCTTCAACACTGTACAACAAATTAATAATTAAACTAAATACTTGGTGATTGTTTAATTTAAGCGTATTTATTTAGCCATATTTGCATGGCTTAGCAAAGTTGGCTCACAACTAAGGCTAAACAGCTAAGAGCGAAGATTCACAAATATGTATTTAATTCAGTTTTAAAGTGGATTCTATAATTTTGACTACAAGTTTGTAGTGCATTGAATAGATGCCTGATGGAATATTTAATTGACAGCTGCAATTTAACTGCAATCTACAAGCTAAGATAAGCATTGTTTATTGTTTTTGTTAAATGTTGTTGACAAACATCTCTGAGTCTCTCTTCTTCTTCCCACAGCTATTCCAGTCTTCCATTCTTGTCAATTGAAGTCGCTTTGTCCTGCTCATTGCCGCTGGACATCAAAGCAGTTCCACTCAAGTTGATAGTTTGTCTTTGCGCAACTCTGAAAACAAAACTTGATTTGCAGACTTGTTGCACAGTGTAATTTAGTGTAATCTAATGCCAATTGGCGAGCACAGGCAAACAAACAAATACAGAAAGAGTATCTAGAGAGAGTAGAGAGATGGAGAGAGAGAGAGAGGGAGAGAGGCAACATTTGCCTGAACGAGGACGATGCTGAAATCAAATTACAAGATGCTTTGCTATTTTGCTCCATGTGCCCCTCTCCACTGACCCAAATTCAATGCGCATACAAATTGTGTGTGTGTTGATGTGTGTTGGTGTGTGTGTTGCTGTGTGTGTGGCAATGCAGGGCGGCAGCTAATCATGCTAATAAACACCAAGTTGCAATTGGCCAACTCGCAAAACCGGCCAACTAGCAAACGGGCAACAGCCAACAACTGGTTAACTGGCTAACTGGCTGACTGGCTGAGTGGCTAACTGGCGACTGCCACAAAAAGCATTGCATACTTAGTTGACTCGTGCAGCGTTTTGTTGCAACATTTTGGCATACATCCAATGTGCCACAGTTGCTGTCGATGCTGCTGCTGCGGCGACTTTTTGCTGCAAATCATTACAAATTGCATTGATTATGCACTTGGCAGTCAATTGTGATTGCTGCGAATAATTCCAGTGGCCAATTTAAGTGCGATTTCGAGTGGGGCAGCATCGAAAGTGGATCGCTCAAGTGTTCGAGCGGAATGTGCTTATAACAACTAAATAGCTGAATACCCCAAATAAAATGGCCAAATTAAAATATACTTGGCTGTTGATTTATTTAAATAGTCGACACATAAATAGTGGAAACTATTTGATTTTGTATGCCTTAAAAATGCTGAAAGTAAACAATTTAAATGATGGCTTTTTATTGAATTTTTCATATTCCCAACATTTATTTACAAATAAGTTAGTTTGTGGACTGCATTTAGCAGAAGAGCGCGGATCAATTGCATTCGCAGAGAGTCAAGAGCGAATCATGTGGAAGTTGTGAGCGTGGCTGATAAATAGTTGATGTGTTTAAAGAGCATGCCTTGTGGATGCTGTCAGAGCGGGCTGCATTAGCAGAAGAGCACGGACCACACAGCAAGCATTGTGGAAATTGTGAGAGTGGAAGTCATTTCTCTGACCCACAGCAGTCGCACCAATGGCAGTTGATCGCCTTACATGTGTAGGTAAAGAGCAAGCCTTGCAGATGCTAGATGAGTGTGGGAGTAAATTTAGTTCTCCACTGGGACCAAACAGCTTTTGAGCGATGGTTAGATTAGCTAAAGAGAGAAAGCTCCAAGCTATTAGAAGCCACAAGCCTATTGAGAGGATTTAGTTTGTGCGCGTTTGTTCTGTTGATCGATCGCGTTTTCCTCACGCGTATTGACTGCAGTAAATTAATGTATTATTGAAAAAGCTTATTCATTTCTGCTAAAAATGCAACGAAAAACATGGCGGCAGTGTGCTGGAACGCTTATGGATTTCGTTCGCTATGTTATCCAGAGCTTTTAAGACGAACTTAGATACCACAATAGGCACGTAAGTCCATAACAGAATAACTATATACACATAATACGTGCAAATGAAATGTTTGTGGAACGTATGTAGCCGAGTTCGCTTGTGAATTTCTTGTTCCATTTCGCTCTGCAGCCACTTAACTCTAAATGAGGCTAAATTTGAAGCCAAAAGTGCACGCTTTACTTTTGCATGTTACTTTTGAAAATTACTTTAAATATGCATGCAAGTATGCCCACAAATATATGCATGCTTTATCAAAAATGACATGTTGAAATCCACAAAATCCCCAACACATTAACCCAATGATTTACGATTGTCTCCAGCTTTGAACCGGAGCTAACTAATGGAATAGCGACAGTTTTGTGAGATTGCACAACACTAAATATTGCATGCGCTAAAAATTCACACATATATGAATCGCATATACACCAGCAAAACTATATGGCTAATGCACAAACTGTCAGCGCAGTAGGCCAACAAGGTGAAAGGTTGGCAGGTTGGCTAACGAACGAACTGAAGAAACAGAAACGGCTGTTTCAGCAGCAGCAGGCGGCCATCTCATCCGTTCAGCTGTCACATTAAAAATGCATAAATGTTGCTTAAATGCAATCCAAGAAATGCAACTGGCAAAAATACGGCTAGTAGAGACATAGAGAGAGAGAGAGAGGGAAAGAGAGAGAAGCAACCCAACAAATCGAAAGTGGGCGTCACACAAATTGTGTCCAGCAGATGAGAGGAGGAGCCTGAATTGGGGGAGTTGCCGATCTGGGTGTGTGTGGAACGTGTGCATTGCAAAATAGATATGCCTCGGGGCCTGTGCCACTGTGCCCCATGTCTTTACCTTGTCCGTAGCTGCCTACGACTGGTAGCTGGTAGCTGGTCCAATTTTCTCTGTGCTGATTGTCGTGCTGTTGATCTGTGTTTTCACTTAGATATTGGCCCGCAGGGTGGCAGTATGACAGTGTGACAGGAAAGCAGCTGGAGTTGGAGTCGGAGCAGGAACTGAAGCTGATGCTGAAGCTGAAGCTGATAGCCGTACGTGTGGTCGCATCGATACAGGAAGTTTGTTTGTGGCCAAGTTGGTGGCTGCAGATGGGATATGGCGTATGCCATGTGAATTGGACAGGGCGAATGCAAACATTGAAAGTTGAACAACTAGACTAGGCTGAGACTTCAGACTTCGATTGCATTAAATTGAATTTTGTATTTGCCTTTATTTTGATATGTACACAGTTGCATGCTGTATACTAAATTTCTAAGACTTCTCTTCCTCTTTCATCTGTCATATATCATTCAGCAAGCAAACTGGACTGAAATCGACTATGGCTAGTTTAATTGAATACTGAGTTTAATTGATAAAACGCTTACAAAACCTAAAAAAAAGAGAGATATATAAACGAGTCAAGAAGAGAGTTCGACGGGAGATATCCTGCAGTCAGCTTTTAAATGGAGTACATCAAAATTATACAGATATATATAATTAATGAATTTAATATTCTATATAATGAAAGTATTGGTATCAAAACAAACAGCAAATGGAAATTCATTTAAAATATAATCAGTAAAATATGCACGAAGATATTTCATGACATACTGAAACAGTGTCAATAACATTTCATATTTAAATAACCATTATCAATTGTTCCCACTGAATTAAGCAAAGTATACATCACATTCCGTCTCTGTCTTTCTAACATGGCCATCAAATGTTGCAGTAAGCAGTAAGCTGTTTACTCAACCGCAATTGCTCGCTTATGTAAGCCCGCACTAAAGTGATTGATGCCCCAAAATGTGATGGATGTTTGTTTTGCACACTCACACATACACACACACACATACACACACACACATACACACACACACACACTACACACACACACATTCACATGAATGTGTGTGAAACTAGCAAATGTTTTCATGCCACTGGCAACTCATTTAAAAGTTTTGCTGCCCCAAAAACATATTCGAATCGTATTAATAACAAATGTCAAAAGTGCTTGCTACAAAAATGTTTTGAAAATTATTACCCCGTCATTTGAAGTTGCCAACTTTAAAATTGCTTCATCGCAAAAGTTTACATTGCACAAATGTTTTGTCAAGATAAAAAAAGCAGCCAGCAAAAAAAAGAGGGAAGAAAATGTAACGCGGCATAAATTGTGTTTATTTTCGGGAGCTAAGAAACTGTAGCATTCTTTTGAGAGCCGTATTTTTTTTTAGGTGACAGCGACACCTTTTAGACACGCCCCCGCCCCTGCTCCTTCAATCCTACGCACATTTCATTAAAGCACAATGAACACATTTCTCAGCGGAATGCGATGTCTCTGGAGGGGAGCGGGGGAGTTGCCGAGATGGGTGCCTCGGTGTCTTGCAACATACACTTGCTAGCTTTGAATATTTTGCACCCCAGCCCCATACTGCTTGGTGTGTGTGTGTGGAGGGGGTGGGTGTTTGACATGAACTGAGCTGAACCGTTGCGTTTGCCTGGCGTAAAAAACAATAAATAATATTTATGTGCTCTTTGATAAGGACACACTTCTCGTAATACAAACAAGCTTGAAGAGTATACGCATTTTTTTTATAGGGTATACGCATTTTACGCGTGATTAATGAAGTGTATTAAAATTCATAAGGAAAACTGAATGAATTTGGTTCTTGGTCTTCATCTTAGTTTTTATAAATCATTGTTAAAATTTGAGAAAGTATCTTCATGACTAGACTAAACTATATTTATGATATTTAATTGCACAGCATATCTTAAAGTCGAGCAGTGGGTATACATGAAATGTATACCTTTTTCCACAAGCATTACACCATACAACAAAATAATGTCTCTTATAAATTAATGATTTCTATGGGTACATAATATCTCAAAGTTGGCACAAATCTAGACTTTTTCCATATACAATCCGGCAAGTTTAATGTGCGTATGTCACTTTATATTACAGGGTATATTCAAGTCAAGCAGCATTTTATATATCTTTATATACATACCTTTATTTATTGGTTTTTGTTTTGTTTCTGTTATTTATAAAGGGTATCTCCGTTTCAGTTAAACCCCACTCAAATTATGTCTACTTATTCGCTGCGCTGTTTATGTAACGCATCTAATCGCTGGCATTTGAGGCATGCGACATGTGGCAACTTAAAAAAGGCACTTTTAAAAGTGAAGCTGTATTTGCCTGTGTGTGTGTGACTCTGTGTGTGTGTGACTCTGTGTGTGTGTGTGTGCATAGTTGGCCTTAAGTGTGGCGCATAATTAATGCAATATACACATGCCACACACATACACACACAAAGGTTCCCCTTTAACATTTTTAAGCACCTGCGACACATAAAATGAAGTCATCTGAATCCTGCTCTTCTGATGCTGCTCCTGCTGCTGCTGCTCTTGCTGCTGCTCCTGCTGCTGCTGCTCCTGCTGCTGGTGTGTTTGCCCACCTGATAAATGCCAGCAAATACAAACACACACACACACATACACACACACACTCGCACACACACACACACTGGCACACACACACACACACTCGCAGACACCCCTATTCACATCCAATCTGTGACACTTGTTTATTTTAATAATGTTAACCTAATTAAGTGATTAATATGCAAAATGTGCGCCGAGATTAAAACGTAACGCGGCATCCTGTTAAATATTGCATGACGCTCTTTTGCCAAGCAATTGGCTGCTCTTAAAGGGTTCCCAGCATATATATTATATATATGAACAGCAAGCGAAATAAATAAATGAAAATGTTCTCAAATTAAGGCTAATCCAAGCATTGTGATACATTTCCTTTTTTTTCTCCAGATTTTCATGGGCAAAACCAATTTTATCTTGCTCCAAAGTAGAACAAATTGTATTTTTGTGTTTAATGAGAAAAACTCAATAAATTATTTTGAATTTAGGACAAATGGCTGAGCTTTTAATTTGAGAAAGTTGTCCCTTTTTTTGGGCCAAGTCCATAGCTAAGCTCCATTATTTTACCACCTGTCATCTGCATAGTGCAGTGCACCTTCTTTTTGTCTTCTTTTTTTTTGTAAATGCTCCAATGCTTCGAGCTTAGAGCCAGGGCCTAAAATCCAAGCTGGCAAATAATTGGCGTTGCTAGAAGTAAAACGCCTCAAAGTAGGCAATAAAAAAGCGTTTTTGCCTAAGCCTTCCTCCAGCACTAAAAGCTACTCAGTGGCAGTCACTTTTTTTGCCGAGCGGCTAATTGATGAGCAGCAAATGGCGCGTGTTAGCAGAAGGAAGAGGAAAGGTGGAGAGAGGAGGAAATTGACAGTGGGAAATGGGAAAAGAGGCAAAAGTGAAGAATAAAATGAGTGAAAACCTTTTCAGACAACTGTCAAGCGAAATCTGGAAGCATTTCTCAACGAGAGCACTTTTGTGCGACAGTTTAAGTTGCAGCTAAAAATGGCTAAAAGCCGCTAAAAATGGCTGCCATTTTGCAAAAGTGTTGAACGCAATTTTGCAGCCTCTTTGGAAATTAGAATTAATATTTTTGCGCTGAGTTAACACAATTTCAAGTTGGCTGCGCGAAAAAAAAGAGAAGAAAAGTGCATAGCGCGGTCAGCAGACTCTTGGCCTATTGTTGTTGTTGTTGGTAGCACCTGTGTGTGTGTGTTGGCAACAAGGAAGTGGCAAGCACATCTTGTGCTGAGACAGCACAGCTGCAACGATGCCAGCTGCAGTTGCGCTGATAATAAATTCATGATGAAGTGCAATTTATACACTTCATATGCGGCATAAGACCGGGCAACCCTGTCTATCTGCCTCTCTCTCTCTCGCTCTCTCTCTCTCTCTCTCTCTGTGTGTCCCTCCACCTATCTTTATCTCTTTCACTTGGTACGCGTGTCCTGGCTGCATGTCCAGTTTCTTTTCTGCTGAGCAATCAAAAAAAAAGTCAAGAATGTTTTTCGCAGCGAAGCATTAAGCCTTGATTTGTTTGCGGCTAAAACTAATTACAAATGCAGATAACCTCGCACATCCCACAACCACGCCCCGCCCCGCCTACTTCTCTAAAAGTTGTAACAAGAAAATTTCCTTCATTGCTATAAAATTTCATTTGGAAAATTAATCTAATTTTTGGTGCATTTTCAAGTCAAATGAGAAATGCTGATTCTGCATTCTGCGCTCTGCATTCTCCAATTCTCCAATCTCGGCTGCCTGGCTGCATGCAAATTAGTTACTCAGTTACCCATTCAATCACCCAATTTGTATGCCACGCCCCTCGCCCCACCCTCCGTTACTATTCATTCTGAATATTGTTCATCATGCAAATCATTCCCTTTCGGCCTTGTGTGCTGTTGCTGATGCTGGCATACATTTTGTGGCCAGCCAGGTGGCTGGTAATGGACTTTCAATAGGCTCGTATTTTCTCTCGCAGTCTCTCTCTCTCTCTCTCTGTCTCTCTCTTTGTCGCATATATTACGATTAAGCGCATATATTAGCCACGCGAATGAGGCCTTTGGAAAATTAAAGCTGCTGCCAAAATACAATTTCCAATTTTAGGTGCAATTTTCAGTGCGAAAGCAAAGCAGAGAAAGGGAATTATCGAGACCCAATTAAACGAAAATTACTTAAAGCTGATTAATTGAGTTATATTTATTGACGTTAATTAAAGCTGCAAATATTTATTTACTTATATTTATATACATTTAATAATTATTTTGTTTTCACTTTGAATTTATTAATACATAAAGTAAATTAGTTCATAGTTTATAAATAGTAAATTACCAAATATGCCTTTTTTTATTGCAGGTACTAAGTCTAATGTGGTTGTTTGACTGATCAGAGAGTCAACTCCTTGCTATTTCCACCAGTAACACCAAGTTCTGCACGTCTTCTCTGATTTGTGTTCAGCAGAACTGCAATTTTTGGCAAAAACTTGAGCCTGGAATACTTGGCTATGTCTTAGAGAAGGATGTCGTAAGTCGATTCTAGCTTATTTATTATTATTTTCAAGCTGGTTCATTAGTCTCAGCTTCCTTGAGCAACATTAATTATTTAAACAACACCAAATTTAAATGCATTTACTCAACTTATTTAACCGCTTAAACATTTACTGCACAATATTATTATCAGTATTTGGTTAACCTGAGTTTAGTTTGGCAAATCTTTTATAATTTATGCAGTCTTATCAAATCGATTACTTGTGGCAATCAGCAATTTCAATATTTATATGCATATATAAATATTTATGCGCACAAAGGGGCATTATTAACGATGTTAAGTGGAATAGGAAGTGCAGCTGAATAATGTTTAACTGGTTAGCTGAGCACACACAGAACCAATTTGCGATTATTTAGCCCGCATTATGCATGCCCAATTATGTATTTAATACATAATATACAGATATATATAGATATAAAGAGATTACTTCTTGCTTAAAAACTTAATTGATTCTGAGTCCGATTAATTATCCATACCAATGAAACCCAAAAACAAAAACAAAAAATAACAAAATCAGTCAAAAGTATTTTACGCTTTAATCTTAAATCAGGCAAATAATTGTCATACACTTAGAGACTAACTAGACGCAAAGTATTATTTAAAGTACTTAAGAACTAAAAACTGCTCGATCATCATTGTGATTGTTGTGGAAATGGATCTTAAGGCGATATCTGCAGACCATTGGCATGATGAGCACCATGACGATTGCCGGCAAAGGGCAGCGACACCAGCAAGCCGAACAGCTTTCTTCTAAACGCAGCAAAGAAAGAGACAGACCCAAAACGAGAGTGAGCGAGAGAGAGAGAGAGAGAGAGCGAGATGGGGGAGAGAAAGAGAGAATCACATGTGATAAGCTGATTATGAGTTTGCGGTTATTATTTATTGTACAAGCCTCACAAAATGGAACCGGAACGAATGCTGCGACATTTGCCCTGAGCGTCGCGAAAGTGTTGGCTGCGGCAACGTGAGGGGCTCTTCGTTGGGGGTGCGGCACGTTGCACTTTGACCTTGAAAATGGGCGAATCGTGACCCTGAGCTGGCGTATACTCAATGTTGGGTGTGGACAGTCTCGATGCTGTTGTTGCTGTTGCTCTTGTTGCTGTTGCTGTTGCTGCTGTTGTTGTCGTTGTTGTGATTGGCTCTTCTTTGGAGCGAGCGTGCAGCCATTTGGGTATCAGTGTGGATGAGCTGCCAACGGGCGTCTCCATAATGATTAAATTGTTCGCCTTGGGTCGCTGACGCTGCGTGGCGGCAATGTCAGCCAAAAGCTGAGCGCTATAGGAGCTCATGTTGCTGCTGGCTGCGGCAACTGTTGCAACAGTTGCTGCTGCCGCTGTTGTGATGGGTATCGTTTGTGTTTGTGTTGTTGTTGTTGGCTCTGTTGTTGTTGATGCTGCAGTTGTGGTAAACTTGATGGGTTTTATGGTCAGCACACCATCATCGTAATAATAATCATCATCGTCCGCATTATACGATTCCTAATGGGAAAATGCAAAGGGTTTATTTTTAGACTTGTTAGCTGCTTTATTTATGGATTTATTGCCAACTTGTTTCTTTCGCTTGTCCACTTACATCTGCCAGCTCATTGTGATCGACCTCAATGATGGCCACATCCTTGATGCTCACGTGTATGTTGTATTTGCCCGTCTGTCGCTGATCGTACAACGGCCGACTCACTTCACTTTCCTCCAGTTGCAATGGCAGCTCCGGCTCCGCAACGGGCTGCATTTGTACTTGCAACAGCAGAGCCAGCAAGAACATAATCATTAGCAACAACCACGACCGCTGCAACATGCTGACTGACTGTGTGTTTGAGTTTTTAACTTTTAACTTTGACTGTCTGATTGAAAACCAGTTCTTTGCCCAGCTTTGCCCAGGTTCTTTGTCACACTTGGCACAACAACACTGTTGACTTGAACGGCCCGCGAGCAACTGAGCTGGTCAGTGGCTTTGAGGGCTCTACTTAAAGGTTTTGTTGGTTTGGTCTTCCCCTCAAGTTTAGGTTGTAAGAATGACTTTCGTGTTGAGTTAATGCTGACTGTGCTGCAAGCATCACTAAGAAGTGTCAGCTGACAATATTCGATATGTATTTTTGTCATGTTCCACATGTATTTTTCAATTGCATTTGAAATGAGCTGTGCGAAAATATGTAACGCGCAGAAGGATGCATCCTCAAACCCATTAACTATGTATACTTCAACAGAGTGCACAACTGAGTCCGTAGTTTTGTCCGTCTAAGATCATTGTACTAATAGCTTTCCTGGCTTGCCAATCGATTTCCGATGCAGGAAAAAGCACTAATCTGAAGATATAACCATTTGATACATAATACATACATAATACTTGAACATTTTACTGTTCAACAGTTCAAATTTCATTAGGATCGAAAACGCAGATTTGCTTAATCCAAAAGTAATTTCATATTTATCGTATGATCTACCATCAACAAGTCCACTAAGTATTTAACAGCTGACTTTAGGGTATCTTCTAGTCAAGCTCTCTCTCTCTACTATAGCATTCTCTCTCTCTCTCTCTCTACTATAGCATTCTCTCTCTTTCTATTTCTAATTTCCAATTGATTTTACCAACTTCCTTTAAGATGCATGTAGCTTATATTTTCCCACATCAATCAGCTCGCACGTAGAGTAGCTCAAGTGTCAGAACTATTTGCAGTTGGCCTTATCTGTTTGCGCTTATGATTATATATATATACATATATATATATGTTTGTATGTGTGTGTGTGTCTGTGTATGTATATACTGTATGACATTAGGCGCTTCATTTCATGCTGACCACTCGAATTACATGGGCACACATTGCGTGTAATACGACTGCCTTCTCCCCTCGAGCAGCAACTCGAAGATGGCATTTGAGTGTTTGCATTTGCATAGTGCATGTAAATATTGTGGCAGCAGTTTGTGCATTTACCACAAGAGCTGCAAACAATTAGCTTGAAGAGGTGTTGAAACATAAAGAACTTAACAGAACATGTACAAAACTTATACTCAAGACTATTCGAGTAGAAAAGTAACAGATTTATATATGAATATATACAAGTATTGATTAGGCATTTATATATACTTAATTGTCTTTAACGAAGCGAGGCAAACGATTGATCAAATTCACACTTGCACAAAACAACTTTTGGCGAAACTTTTAATTTGTTAAGCCAACTTTTAGACTGACTCAAATATTTGCATTTAATTCAAAATTCATTTCGTTTTCATTTGTGCAGGTTAATTAGTGAACGTTTGCACATTTCCGCAGCATTTTAAAACACTTTCAATGTTTGCTGTCAGTTTGCTGCTGCTGCCGCTGCTGCCCCTGCCCCTTTCAATACTCTGAATTTGTTGACGGTGTATTGCAATCGTTCTTTAATTGCAATTGATGCATTTGTGCTGAGCTGTGCTCTGCTCTGCATTTGCTTAATTGAGAAGGAGTCGATTGCATTTTACGCATTGATAAATGAATTTCGCAACGTTTTTTTCTTAATGGTGCAACCACACCCCCTCTCCCATCTCTGTCTCTTTGCATTGTATAATCATTTTTCATCTTGAATAAAATACTCGTAAAATGTGTGTGTGTGTGTGTGTGTGTGTGTGTGTGTGTGTGTGTGTATTTACGTGTATACATTAATTTGTGTGCGTAATTTCCGCAATTGCAAATGGCCGACGACAGCTTTATCTGCAGCATGCAACACGACAGCAGCTGCAACGTTACAAATGTATATTTGTATAACTCTGTGCTTAATTGCAACTGTTGCACGTTGCGTGTGTTTGTGTGTGTGTGCCAAGTGGCAAATGGTGTGTGTGTGTGTGTGTTTGTGTCCCCTGTACACAGTGCACTAATTAAATTAATTGCTTAATTTTAACTTAATTTGCCACATGTGGCAAGTTGCGCTCGGGCTTTGTTGCCCGCCACATTCATTCATTGCTCACGTGCATTTGCTTTTGCCAGCCAATTGCTGCACGTACTTTTTGGATAACCATAAAATTTGGTTTGCTGCCCCAACAACAACAACAACATCAACAACTGTATCTCTCCTGTTGCCAGTCTGTTTGTGGCATGATTGTGTTGTGTGTGTGTTTGTTTTAGCTATAATTAAGACCAGCACTATTTGCAAAACTTTAACTTGGCCAGCTTTTAAATGTTATCATGCAGGAAAATACATTTTCCAGTTTGTTGCTGGTAATCAAAAACAGAAAGAACTTTTTTTAACATTTCACCTACGAATATAGATCAATTTTAGCAGTGATAAAGTGTAGTGCCGAATAATGCTGATTTCCAGACTTTATTATTTCTAATAAAAATAGGAAAAATACTAAATCGAAGTTGTGCATGAGTTGCAACAGGCAAAAGGATGCATTTGATAGTCCATTAAGTATATTAGTTTTGAGTATTAAGCTATATCTGTCCCTTGCATATTTGGAATAGTCATTCTCAGAGACTGAAAGAGCTTTAAATTTTAAATTTTGAATATAATTTCTCGTACCTTTAACAATAGCAGTCTCCAAGCCCGATATAGAATTGAGATACATAATATACCCAGACACATTATTGATCAACTGTTTTCCTTATTTATGGAGTGATTATCTGTAATCAGGTAATTTACAGGTATGAATAAATAGCTAATCAATATATTTGATGCCTGAGAAACATCAGCAAGACAGGTCTGCTCAAGGGTGGCGCTTGTTAATAGAAATTGCTCAGCCTGAAACAGAGTTGTCGGGGAGAAAATTCAAGGCAATGTTGCGTAGATTGATCTGACCCAAAAAAACAGCATTTCGGACTACTGCATCTTAAGGATTATATAGCAAGAAGTCAGGCAAATGGATAGTCATGTGTTGAAAGTGGTATTGAGTGTCATTTTTGAGTTTTCTACTGATTGTGGAATTGCTCAAGCTTAGCTTAGCTTTAACAGGCTAAATGTGCATTTCTGTTGCTTTTTAATATAACAATTATTGAAATGGCCAGATCCAAATGGGCATAGATTTTTAGATCATAGTTTTGGAAGAGTAAAACTTTGGATTGTGTTGTGTACTTCAGTAGCCAGTTAACCCTGTTGGATGTTTGCTGTCATAGAGTGTTTTAGTGTCTCACCAAAAGATATTTATGGTGATTGCAGCTGCATCTCTACTTGAGGGCAGTAAACATTTTTATGGACATAAAAATCTAAATCTTCGGCAATGAATTGTGCTTTTATTAAGCTCACTAACTGCTTTGAGAACTTTTCATTAAGAGTTTTATGTTTCACAATTTCGATGCAATTTACGTTTTACAACTTTACCGTGCAAATCGCATTAGATGTTATCCGCTTGTTAATCTAAGTACTGTCCGAAAAAAATTCGGCAAAAGCGGAATGCAAAATAATCTCTCAAAGTAGGGAGACAAAGTTGCACGCTGCCATTTTGCCTGATTATGCAAATTGACAGCAGCTGTGGTAGATGTTACTGTTGTTGCTGTTTTTGTTGTTGTTGCTGTTGCTGTTGTTGCTGCCACTGTTGTCTTAGCCAGTGTAATTTTTTTTGGCAGCACTAATTACCTACATTAAGCAACCTGCAAAGAGAGTTGCAACTCAATTAGCAAACTGTAAGCGACACACTCGACAAACTGTGCCACTTTGTTGTTGTTGTGGTTGTTGTTGTTGTTTGTTGTTTGTTGTCTGTTGCATTATTCACGCCATCCTTTGACCTTTTTGGCCAAAACGCCATTGCAGCAGCTACGTAAATTACACAGCTCTTAAATACTCTGTTTTGTCAAATTAAACCAAAGCTAAATAAGCCAACTGCCCAGCGAGAAAGGGTGGCAAAGACACAGACACAGAGACAGAGAGAGAGAGAGAGTGAGAGAGAGAGAGGGAGATAGAAGGGGCAGTGGTGTGCAGGCGGAAGTTGCAGTTGAGCAGCCTGGCGACAACGGAAGCTGCAACCAAACAACAACGAGCGCAAAACAACAACATGGCTTGGCAAACTTTTTGTCAAGCGGAATTGTAGCAGACACTCAAAACAACAACACAACTACAGCGAAAGTGTTCCGGAAATGGGGTGCGGCTAGGGGTGTGGATAAGTGTGGGGTGGGAGGGGGTTAGCTGGCACTCGAAACGGATGCAGGACGCCATCTTGCAGTTTGTGCACAAACATGGCCGCCAATTTACGCTTGCCGGGCGAGCAGCAATCGCATTTTATTTATTGCATAACTAGAGGCGCTTATGCGTTCCAGTAAACAACAACGAGCTAATAACAACAACCAACAGCAACAACGACAACAACGACAACAACAACAACAACAAGGAGCAGAAACAACATGAAGTAAAAGCTACTACCTCCAATCCTATTTCCATAACCATTTGCAATCTGCAGTCCGTTGAAATCAGAGAGGGTGACAGGGAGAGGAGGAGCCGTTGAGGGTGCGGAGTGTCGAGCATAATAATTACGCCTCGCTATCAGCAACGACATTCACCATGAAAAAGTGCCTGGCAGCGCCACCTGTTGGCCAACTTGCAACTGCACAAGAACAACAAGAACAAGAACAACCAGCAAATATGCAAAGCGATAAAACGCAAGTGTTGCACGGATTATTCATGAATAGAATGAATGCAGATTCAGCAACTGAACAAGCGAATAAGCGAGTCGTTGAGTCTGTGAGTAACATGTGAATTTAAGCAACAAAAAACAAGTTTCGATGTTGTGTGCTGAAACTAAGAACTCAATAATTGAGCAGTCTTTCTTTTTGTGTCACCATAACTGATATTGGGTTTAGTTTTTGGTGTATGACCTGCAATTTAGTTAACAATACAATACAATACTCTTATAACTTATAGCTCCCCCCAAGCATTTATAGATTATCCAGTTTTATCTTTGATCTTTGCCAGTTTGGGCTTTTGCAGCTTCTCGCGCTTATGCCATTCCAGGACATATTCCTTGTTGAGCCTGGCAATGCTGGCCAAATAGCTGACATAGTCGACATCGCTGTCAAGGGCCAGTATTTCACCGTACAGTGAACTCATCTTGATGTTGTAGCGTGCCAGAGCATCCATCGTTTCGTATTCATTCACTTCGGTCTCATCGAGAAACTTGACCAAGATCTTCGTTTGTCCTTGGCCGGGTTCACGAAGCTGTCGCTGCAATTCCAGAATATCTTCCTTTACCTGATGCAGTGTATCCATCTGCAGCTGCACCTGTTGCTTGAGCAGCATCTTGATGTCCTCACACTGTTGCTGCTGGTTCTCAATGAACTTGGTTAGTTTCTCAATGCTGCCATTGAAGTTCTGCGATTCCTTCATAAATTGAGGCACATCCGTAATCCGCTCAATGCGGGGCAAGGCCAGTTGACTGGCTTGTCCGCCCTTGGAAACCAATCCATGAGCATCGGCACTAGATGTGTCCATGCTACAGCCGTATAAAGTATATATTTATATATTATTTCTCTTATTGTATATTCAAGAAAATGTTTAAGAGTTTTTACAGCTTTCCACTGAAGCACTGAATGTGTGACTCAAAATTCATTTCACTGCTTCAATGTTAGAATTGCAAAGCCGGCTTTGTAGTTAATCATTTCCTTGTGCTAAATGAGTTATTATTCTTTGATTAAATTTTAATTAAACTAGACTATTTATTAGCGGAAAATCTTAGGAATGCAGTTGCTGAGATGATTTCAATTTGAGATTTTGAGTTCAGCCCAAAAGTATGCCAAGATAAACTAAACTTATGCAAAGAAAAGAAAAAACACAAGATAGACAGGCAGACATGACTTGTATTGACTACTCACCTATGCTGATCAAGAATATATATACCTTATGATATCTGAGACATTTCCTTCAGTGCACAACTCAATTAAAATATCCCCTTCAATACTGACTGTTCTGATAAGTGTTTAATTAATAATATCGAATAACAGTCACTGCCAATAAATGCCTTTCTGCAATGGAATATGACTATAAGCTATAAGCTGCCTGAACTATATATATATATATTTTATATATATTCTCTCGGCTATTATCGATTGCATTTCCATTCTATTTTTTCTCTGTTATTTCATTTAGTATGCACTAAAAGTTAGTTGATGCAGTTGACTTCATTTGTTTTTAGCTTCTAAATGAGATAATGGAATTTGTATTTTCACAGTGCGGCTTGTGGCAAGCTGCATGATTGAACAAGCTACAGTTCAAATTGTGTGAAAGCTATTTTTCTATAAATATTAAGTGCACATTTAACTGATAAACAAACAAAAGAAAAACAAAAAAAAAAAAGCAGCAATGAATTTTTAACATGTTTTATTTTTTGTATACTCTAAATTGGTTGCAAAAACTTTTCTTATTATTATAACTTATTGGTCCTGGCACTTAAACAAGTGTTGAATTGAAATTCCAAAAAGGGTTTTTGTATTTCAAACGTTGATAGCATCCGATAATCTATATATTTAGGATATAGATATCTATTTGCTTAGGCCAAAGGCCATATGCCATTTGGCATAGGGCATGTTTTGTGTGGCAAAGTGAGTAATCGTACGTGTGGAAAGCAAGCTGAGACTGATTGCTGCATAAGTGATTGAGATTGTGTGGAGGATTGGCTGGAGCAGGAGCAGGAGGAGCAGGATCAGGAGCAAAAGCCTGTCTGCAGTTGCGAATGAATCGAATCTCGAATGTGGCTTGCTGCACGGCTGCTGCTGCTGCTGCTGTTGCTATCAACTTGCCGCATTCTGGCATGCAACAAAAGTTTCACATACACCGAATTGGGCAAATACAGCTAAAGTTCGAGTGCATTTAATGAAAATTGACAGAAAATGCCAAAATATTTAAATCTGATTTGCTGTTTAGGGCAGTCCCACATGGGGCAGTAAGGGGCAGTAAGGGGCAGTAAGAGGAAGGGGGTTAAGCAGGGCTAGTCGAAATCTAAATATGCAGTCGAGTGCGGCGCTTATTTTTAGATAGCAGACATAATAGAGACACACGAGAAGACAAAGCGATGCACAATAAATCAGCAAAAAACGCAGCGCGAGTGTCAGCTGTAGAAAAAGAAAATGTGAAAATGTGAAAATGCGTTAAAAGTGAAGGAAGAAAATAAAAGCAGACAGCCCAAAAATGTCGGCAGACAGACGAATGCAACAACAACAACAACAACAAAATACCAAAAATCATTTAATTGAATTATACGCGATAAAATTGCAATTTATTTTGAGCGAACGGAGGCAGGCAGTCAGTTGAGGCAGGCAATGTTGCATGTTGTCCTTTACACAACATCAACAACAGTCGACAGAGACAACTGAGACTGAGACTGAGACTGCAAGAACTGTAGCAACTGTGGCAAGTGCAACAAAACGTTGCATGCCAGATTTGGCCCCAATGTACCGTTAAAGCGAAATGCGTATTATTAGCAACGCTCCTCGGCATATCTATGCCATCTATCTTCATGCAGTGCCATTTTATAGTAGTTGCACATGCCGCTTGCCCCCAAACACACCAATCCCCCAATCTTCGACCCCCATCCCCGATCCCCGACCCCGCCAGCATGCCGGCTCCTAGCTTCCATTAACCCAAATGCATTGTTCTTGTCCATTGAAATTGGCTCCAGTTGCAGTTTGCCTGCCTAATTTCTCTCTCTGTCTCTGTCTCTGTCTCTGTGTGTGTGTGTGTGTTGTGCATCACAAATTAATGGCATATTATGGAGCAGTTTGTGGCTAACTGAAATAGTTCCCCAAACACATACATATATTTTGATTGGTCCCCAACAGAGAGCCTTGCAGTTGAATTCATTAGAATACAGCCTGCGGGACTTTGGCTTAAACTATTAGAGAATGTTTTGAGTTGCGAAACAATCCAAGCAATACTTAAGAATATGGAATTCATATAATGCAGAATATGTTTCAGGAAGTGTTTTGTTTCTCACGGAATTCTACTGACTTAACTCTATTTTGATTTGGTGAACTTCATAGACTGCAACCTTTTAGATCGATTGTGCCCCTTTCGAGTCTGTCTTGCCCCACTCCCAACCTTTAACCCCAACGCTAATCCTGGCCATATATCATATGCTTTACTCTGTTGTTTAACGTTGGCTATTAAAAATATTTGCTATTGATGCGAAAATATTTTATTGTAACATATCTTTTCATAATGTGAGATTATCTAGGCACATGTCTTGTGTTGTGCCACGATTTATGTGTGTCAAGAATCAAATACACACACACATTAAGAAGAGCAGGAAGTGGCAGCTTTAAGCTCTTAGGAAATTGAATTCTTAAGCTTTATTGTTTTACTGGCCTTGCCAAAAAAAAAATAAAGAAAAGAGGAGCGCATGCAAAGCAAGGAGCTGCTCAGCAAAAGGACAATCAAGTGAATAAAACTGCAGCAAAAGCAATTTTCATAAATATTTAATGGATAACGGCGGAAAATAAGCAAAGCCGACCCAACAGAGTAAAACAGGGCTCGCCTATACCATATACATATACAAATATATATACATATATATATGTATACATACCTATATATATCTATATATATATGCCATACAGATGTCCTGACGTGGATGTATTGTAATTTTTTCTTTTATGGATATATGAACTGCACATATGCCACACACATGTCTGATATATATACTCTATATATATATATATATAAATATGTACATATATGTACACTCTATACATGTATGTATAAATCTCGGGCTTTTAGTTGGTATCATTAAACTGTATTTCGCGCCGAGCGAAATTCTGGCCAAAGTCCTCTTCATGAGCAGGCCATTACAGAGGCGGCAAAAATCATAACAATAAAAGCGAGACAGCCTGCCACAGAGGGATGGACGAGGGGAGGGGCAGAGGCAGCAGGTCGTGAATGGTAGGGGAGGAGAGAGGGGACTCGGTAGCTGTTCTTACTTAATCGATGATGATGAATAATTGATTCGTGCGAAGCGCCCAAGCATGGAAATGAAAATGTCGGTTGCCTGGTAGATTGCTGCGCTGTCTCTTCCTCTCCCCCCCCCCACTCCCAGTGTTTGTGTGTGTGTGTGTAACGAGTGGCAAATTTCAGGAAGCGGAAATGGCAATTGCAGACAACGCAAATGTGAAGTTGTGCGCTAAATGAAATGCCAGCACAGCACAGCAGAGAACAGCACTGAGCAGCAACAGCAACAGCAACACGGCAAGAAACACGGAAACAGCAATGTGGACAAGCAAAAGTTACAACAACACTCGCAGAGGAGAGGAGGAGAAGACGGGGGTCGTACTGTACTACCAGGTGATACCAGGTAAAAAGAAAACGACGCTTTGCCCAAGTTACACAATTCGTTGGCATTTAAATTTGATTCTTCGCTTTCTTTGTACAAATGTGCAAAAGTAAATGCAGTGAGACTTGTTAGATCCGGTTAAAAAGGAAATGCACGTAAAAGAAAAAGAATAGTTGAGTGCATTTCACTGTTATTAGCAAACAACATCATTTCATAGCTCAAACCAGATTGCTTTAGTTACTAAAAGGGAAAGATAATAATAAGAAAATTAAGAATTTCAACAATTTCTTGAAAGGAAAGTACAACAAAATATCAAAATGATTTCAACTTGCCCATAACAAACTAGCTCAATCAAACTAGCTCAATCAAACTAGCTCAATCATAAAGTTTGTTATTACATGAGGCAGATATCTCCGACTCCATAAGTCTATCGGATCGGATTACTATATTATATAGCTGCCATAGGAACAATCCTTCGAATGATGAGTTCTTAAATGAAAAACCTTTTAGTTTCTACATATATCAACTCTCTGCACATGCAATTCATTGTTCCCATAAACAACTCCTTACTATATCATATATATAGTTCCCAAAGGAACAATCTTTTGGTATTTTAAAGCTATAGTTAAGCTTAGATGTCGCCACAAGGACATGTTGTGTTCGTTGTGTCTAAGAAAGCCCCCGTAACTTGTTTCAATGCAAACCTGCCAACTGTCAAATCACAAACTTATTTCAATCAATCAAATCGAAGACTTAAATTGCTTAAGCTCTTCACAATAAACTTGTCAGACCTGCTCACAGCCACTTTACCCCTTTGGCAACACATTTGATCAATTGCAGTTTGTAAGCACATGAAATATTCTGGACCATTTCTCCTTTTTCTGATATTTTTCTGGTGGCACGTTCCAGCGCTCTAAATTTCAATTGCAGTTTAAAGCACACACACACCTGAGTTCAGTTTATGGGGCAGGCTAGTGTTGGGTGGAGAGGGGGCAGGGGAGGAGTGGGGTACTCTAAGACTACAGTCATTAGTTGCATGTTCGTGTGCTTAAATCATTTAGAGATAGCACAGCGGTCTAAGGACTTGAGCACTTCACATATATTTACAATATAAATTTGTTGAGTTTCGCCTTTTTTTCTTCTCTTCGCTTTTTTTATTTTGGAAATTGCGCATCGTAAATTCCTTGTGGATTTTGTACATTTTGAGTAACGGTACTTAATAAACTCGCATCATTTTCCCATTTGGCGCTCGCACTTCATTTTTGTATTTTTTTTCTTTCGCCTTCGCCTTCGCCTTCGCTTTCGTGCCTGCCACGCCCCCCAAGTTCCATTACGGTTATTCCTGTTGTTGCCCCAAATTACCTGTCATTTCGAAATTATGATACCAGCAAAACGTTGCCTCTGCCGTTGACGTTCCTTTCCGGGCATCCTTCCTCGCTCCCCCCGCCAACCCCGCCATCCCCCGCTTGGCGCTTGGGGAATTTTTTATGTGGCAATCTGTGGGGTGCACCTAATTTTATTTGGCTCGCGAAATATGTGCTCCACATATAATTCAAACTAATGCCGCACAAAAAGAGGCACTCACACACAGATCCATCGGCGGCGCATCGTAAAAACCTTATGCGCATTTTCCGATTGTAATCTGTAAACCGTAATACTTAACCGTTAATATGCGATAGAGCCTGGGAGGTAGTTGAGCACCGCTCCCCCTCCCCACCCCACTCCTGCACATTATTTGATATGACATGATGACAGGCTCTGATGACATTTTGTTATTTCATTTTATATTATTTTATTTCTTATTTTTTTTATTTATTTTTTTTAGAAAAAGGTGACAACAGTGTAGAAAGCCTGACATGTGGAGAAAAAAATCAGTAGTCGGTAAAAGTTAATATGTGGATTTACTTGACTTCAAACTTGACAGCTGCCCACCATGCCGAGTGGATAAGTGTAGGTCTTGTCTGGGCCTGTCGACCAGCTAGCAACGTGTGAGAGAATGTGCCTGTGCCACAGAAAATCTATAAATAGAATTGCTTTGACATACTATATAAGCCAGCGTCTTTGATTACATTGAGCAACTCAACGCAAATTGTGTTTGGTGATAAAAGGAAAACTTTTTTTTACCACACGTTGAAGAAAGTTACATGGAAAATATTTGCCTAAATGGGACTATGTTAAGCAATTACTAAAGTTGCATTTAAGGATAATCAATAACTTCAACAAAGACAAATTTAATATGGGAATATAGCAAAGAAAAATAGTATAGAAAGAATTAAACTCTTAAACACTTGCTTTCCATCTTACATCTTGAAATTTGATCAGTCAATTATTTTGCTATATAATCTAATAGAAGCAAAATATATTTTGGGACGACAGCAATGTCTAAAATATGTCAATTCCTGTTGTTCACTCACTTGTAATATCAACAAAAGAATTTGCTGTTTTTTACATTGGCCAAGAAACCGACCGAAACATTTAGCCAACCATGCAAATCAAATGTGCGAGAACCGCTCGAAATGAGACAAATGTCGGGCGAGTTTTTCAAATGCTTGGCACCCATAGACTGCTGAGATTGAAATGTCCAACAAGCTTGTCAATTAGCTAAATAATAAAAGCACATTTGAGTTTATTATATATGAAAATAACTATGACTATGTTAAAGGAATTTTACACAATACACATAGAAAACTGCATAGTATATAATACTTAATAGTATTTGATCACTTTACGGAACTGCTGAAATTCTTCTCATTGCTCAGACACTGATTGCAAATTGTGCAAAATATTTGCTGTGAAAAGAAAGAGAAAAATATATGGAATCATATTAATGAAAATACTCGATAGACATTTCGATAATTCAATGCTCACCGGAATTGAGGAACGTTTCGCTCCGCCGGCTTGTGAGGAGCCCGTGCCCTCGAAGTGTCGCAGCCAGGATTTAATCACATTCGTTGGGGGTATTTGATAAATGCTAAACTGTTTCTTGAACAATCTCTGGGCACTGCTTATGGAATCATTATTGCGATAATAGGCCCGAATGATGAACGCTCGATGCACGCCCGTCCACTGATCCATTGCGACTGACTGACTGACTGGGCCAAGTTCTATGGCAAGAATGCAGTTGACCAACAAACAGACGGCATTTCCGCCTCAACAGGCTGACATAAAAAAATGCCACAAAAATTTAATTAGTCATATGCAGCGTCAGATGCGTTTCACTTGCTATTTTTATAATGCATGCAGCCAATGCGGCGTATGAGCAATATTTTTGCTTATTAATAACCTGAATCCATTCAAAATTGGGCTACAAAGGGTATAATGCATTTGTGCGAAGGTGTGTCACAGGTATAAAGATATTTATATATGTATATATTCTCGATCAGCCGAGATAAGCTGATATGGAATACACTCGATAGTTGAAGTGGAAGAGGGAACCATCCATAAAGTATACATATAATGTTGATCAGCATCAGAGATCTTTAGAGACTTGGCAACAGGGTAACTCGTAGTCGAGCTCTCTCTCAACTACAGCATTCTTGTTTGATTTTTCTTCAATTAATTTTGTAGTGTGTAAATTTTAAATTTTGTTCATGTGCCGGCCGCCCCCAAATCTGGAGCCGTCTAGCTGTCTGTGTGTCTCTGTGTGCCATCAATCAATCCAACTAAGTCATCATCATTACGCTTCATCAGCACAACCATCAAGAAAAAAAAAAATAACAGAAAGTGGGCGTGGTGGGGGATAATGGGGTGTTGTGTGCACCCCTACAAAATCTACAATCTTGAACTCATTTAAAGTTTTGCCACAACTTAAATCCGCTTTGGCATTTGGCCATCATGTCAGTAGTTGGCCATCGTCAAATTCTTTAAGCGTTTTATATTGTTTTTTTTTATGTTACCATTTTCTGTGTACCCCATTTGGAGGGGGCGGAGGGGTGTGGCTAGACACAAAGATTGATGGGCTGGTTGAGGTTATTGCACAAAATATTTTTAGTAACCAAGGTAAATAAATTTATGCAGCTTTAGACACGACTATTTTTTACAGGTTGAACCTGTTAGGGGTTGGATAGATTTATGGGCTGCTGAAATACTCAATAAATATATTCAGCTAAAGTAATTTGCTCAAAGATGTTCTTAAGCATTTTTAAAGCTGAAAGTTTGTTTAAAACTAAAAAACGAAAATGTATGCAACTTTAGCGAGACAAGTTCAGAGCCGGAAACTTAACTGAAATTCAAATTCAGGAAGAAATTAAAAATATCTCTGACCATTTTCAGTTGAAAATTCAATTCAAAATAGCCTCAAATGCCAACTGTTCGCATAGTTTCTTCCTATCGGGATGTCAATAGAAATGTCATCTTTAGCCATCGTTTTGCTGTCCATTTTTTTGTCTTCTTTTTTTTGTTGGTTTTGTTGATTTTGTGTTCCGCCATTTTGCTGGACCATCGAGCACGTAACTGCAATACAATGCAGCGGGCTCAGCTTGTAGATACACAGATACATAGATACAAAGATACAAAGATACATAGATACACATACAATTATGTAGTCTCCACTGTGCGACGAGCGTTTGTTATTGTTTTTTTACTGTTACTGTTGCTGTTGCTGTTGCTGTTGCTGTTGTTGATGGTGCAAGTTAGAAAATGCTGCTGTCGTTTATACAGTTAGCCCGACAGACAGCCAGGACGAGGACCAGGCCCAGCAGCAGGCCATTCTATTCAGTAAGGCCATCCATCGCTCCACTGCACGTCCAGCCAGAATGGCAGCTATCTATCTGTGTGTGTCTGTGTGTGTGTGTATGTCTGTGTGTGTGTGAGTCATTTTTTTGCTGGTGTCTGCTTGTCATTTTGACACCTTCATTTGCTACGGATATTCAGCTGGATTCAGCGTCAGCGCCAGGCCAGTGATTCTGTGGCCCTTTTCACTTTTTTGCTCTTGTCGCGTATCATTTAAAGTTAAATATACATATATATATATATATAGCGATATATATATGTATATATATACATATATAAATGTGTATGTATTTGAGAACTGTTTTTGGGCAGTGTTTTCCTTTGCAGTTTCCTTTTGCTTGGCGTGATTTTTCTTTTCTTTGACATTTTTAAGATATACTTTGCTAGCGCTCTTACCAATAATATTATTTGTAGCTAATATTAACATTAAGTTTACTATATTTATGCATATATTTATTTATGATTATATATCCAAGTCGATTGATTTTAATTTGCTTTTGCAAATACTGTGCAGATTCCTGAACTTTTCACATTTCGCCCAGTTTGCTTTCTTTAATATTCCTTTCTTTGCATTCAGTAAACGTTTTCCACTCTTTATTTACTATCCCCCCTCCAGCTACCAATTGCATTTGTGTCCTTTATCGAATTCGCTTGCTTAACTCGCTTTAAAACTTACCAAACTGATAAGTATTATTCTGCATACTTTCATTTTTGTCTGCGCTCGCTTTGGCTTGTGCCAACTTGACTGTCATATAAGCTGCCTAAACCCATAAGCCCCATTGCAGCATTACGTTGCCGGAACTTGCAACATGCAGCACCAGCAACTGCAACAGCAATAAAAAAGGAGCTGAGCCAAAAGCAGAATCCGAAAAGGGCAACATTGCCAAGACAAATGATCCAATGACTGTCTCACTGCACTTTAACTTTAACACCCACGCCCAAAACTTAACCGGGCCACCCCAAAAAAAAAAAAAAGAAATACAGTCAAAAAATAAATATTTTGCTATATATATATGTGTATGTATGTGTGTGTGTGTGTGTGTGTCAGTGTGTGAAGTGGGGCAAAGCTGTCTCAATTTTTTGGGTTAGCACACAATTCTGTATGTAAAGTTGACGCATTTTTTGCTCTATTCCTGAAAACTTTTATTTTTTATTATACCCTGCATGCAATATGCATAGCGAAAAGGGGTATCTTGAAAATACAAATGAACAATTATCTTATTTCAGATCAGAATCTATAAAGATATACATTTGCTACTCTCTATATTGATCTGCGGATTTACAAGAGCTAATGACCTAAAATTTGGTATGTAAATGTAGTTTACATAAAATGTTGATAGTATAACATAATCAGTCTTGTGATATACATAGCTAGGGATATATATAGCTCTTCGAGTTTCAGAATATACACCCTGATAATAACGAGCCTCGAAATGACTGCTGGAAATCAGCCAGTCTTCCACTCAACGATAGTCTGTTGATCTCTCATCGATTGATTCAGCTTGCCAGACCACTCTTGCGAGTCTTCCTCACAGTCTGGCAACGCTAAGCGCTCCCTGTCTACGTCTAGCTGCCTGCTATGAATTCTCACTTCCATTTTTCAATACATATGAAGTTAAAATAATCATTTTAGTTTATTTTCTCATTGTAATTTAATTTTTATATTGAATTAAAGATGATGATCGTCTTTAAATTTAGTTGGGTTTTTCTTTGGTTTGTTTTCGCTTTATTCGTTCTAAACAAGTCATTCCCAGCCGTTGTGTATTTGGGGGACAAGTAGCCCCGAAAACTTCTGCAATGATACAAATTATTAACAACACAAAAAGGGCGTGCATTGTGCAAAATAGAACAATCCAAACTGACCCATAAGAAATATAAATATATCTTTATATCTTAAAATATGATATATATAATCACATTCGATTTGGTTTAAATGCAATTCGTTTTAGTGTTTAACGCTTGAATTGGATTTTGCTAAAGTGATCAAGATTGTGTAAAGCTAAATAAAATGTTGGAAAAATCAAGAAAAATGATATAGAAAAAATATATTTCAATATCGATTTATACAAGTATAAAGTATATTTCATTAATAGCTTTGTGTATCTTGCTAATATCGATAAAAATCGATTAGCGATACCAATAAAAGCCAGACACTTATGAATATCTATGACTAATGATAGGTAAATAGTATCTCCTAGTCAAGATCTCTCTCAACTACAATAAGTTCTTTTGTTTCTTTTTTTTGTGTCTTGTCCATGTCAGAGCTACTGAAGCTGTTGCTGGTGGTGCTGACGATGATGATGACAAAGGGCAAGGCAAACGAGTAACATGGAACTGGGTCAAGACTTCATTGTTTATCTTGGGACAAGGGCCAGCGCCAGCGCCCGCGCCAGAGACAGAGCCAAAGACAGAGTTAGAAAATGGATTCGGTGCCTAAGCATTCGCACATCCATTCATTCAACCAACCAGCCAACCAACCAGCCAACCAACCAGCTGCTGGTCATTTGAAGCGGGAAGGATATTAAATTCTTGAAGCATTGTTCAACTGTGCGAAATTAGCAGATGAAAGTTAATATTAAATTTAGCATAGCCCACAAACCAAAGAAGGTCATTCAACAAATGGGCTGGCAATGGGGGCGGGGGGATTGGGGTGCAGGGTTTGGCAGGGTTGGCAGGATTTGCGAAATGCCTTGCCGGACGTTTTCATAAGCGTTTCACTTTCCGGCAACGCCATAGATAAACACGCACACGCAACACACACACACAGACACACACACACACACACACACACACACACATACACACGCAAGGAGTTTCAACTGTAAATCTGGCCAAAACAGGATACTAAGCTGACGCTGCAGCGCAACGGAAACGGATGCTGCGCTGCTCTGATGTGCTAGCTAGGGGCTTAGATAAGGGGATGGAGAAGGGGGAAGTGTGGCAGTGTGGCAGTGTGGCAGTGTAAGGCGTTGATAGCAGCGTCTTATCAGCTACAGAAACAGCCACAAGGAGGCAGGGAAGTGAGACTTGTCAGCATGTTGAAGTGCTAGTCAACTACATCCACTTACATAGAGAGTGAGAGAGAGAGAGAGAGAGAGAGTGAGAGATAGAGATAGAGAGAGAAAGGGAGGGAACATATATTCTTGATTGAGTTATAAATCAAAAATATATGCTTAGATTAAAATTTATTAACTTGAACGAGGATTTCTCATTTGTTCGCTCAATGTTTAGATCATTTTATGAATGTAAGCTTCATTTGAGCCACAAATTGATTGTAGTTTTGCGTATGCAACTTTTCTCACTGTGTAGCGCTCAGATCCCAGCCCTCGCCGCTTGTATTCATCCATTTAAAAGCGCATTAGGTTTTTGCATTTTGC